CCCTCATGTTGCCTTCGTGGAGTATGAAGTAGTTGCTGCTGCTCATATCGTGTGTCTGACCAACATCGTCTAGAATTCCTGACGAAGCCTTCTTGTTGCTCGGCCATGGGTCCGGGAGAGACTGCACAGAGCTCTGAGCAAGAAATTTTGTGGACTGCTGACCAGGAGTCGGCTTTGTTCCACAGTATGCAAGGCCACCGCCCTGTTGGTGAGACAGCCCATTCACCTCATTGAAATTGTCATGGACTATGCATACATTAGGTTACCTCAACTCGAACTTTCCAAATACGGTCTCTTCGCTGCACACGTTACTTGAATGTTTTCACCCTGAGGATGGGCCAAGCCCGAAATTTTGGTGAATTCAATTATTAACTGGTTTGAGGGAAAGAGACAAACGGGAAAAGTGAAGAAAAAATTGACTGTGACCACCAGGACTCGAACCAGGGACCCTCGCTTGTAGCCAGCGATGCTCTAACCACTGAGCTATGGTGTAGTCGTCATCCCATCAGAGGCCGTTCAACATTTTCTTCAGACTTCAATTAGGCTTAAACAAAAAATAGGCTTGTTTCCGGTCGGCAACCCCTCAAAAAGGAGACTCGGTCGGCCGGAATGAAACTTTTTTTGGATACTTTTTTTTTGGTTCCTCAATCGTTGTGGTATTGATGGACAAGAGCACCTACACATGTACATTGTACATATATCATGGCAAGGATCAATGTCAAAGTTGACTGACTCACTGTTCTTGTACAGCATGGGGTGTATTCCTGTTTTCGTACATTCTGAGAAATCAAGCAAACAGTTCGAGTCCTTCCAGCTCTGTTATTCTAGCTCGTATCGACCCCGGAGGTTTTCGAGCCGACAGCTGAGAATCTCTGCTACCTTGTAGGTGTTTCGATTGTGGAATTCGGTTGAGATTTGACTGAGTTATGACTCGTTGAGTGAACTTGCACACATGGCATTGCCACCGTTTGTATACATTTGGGACCAAAAAAATTTCAGAATTTGGGAAAAAGTGGCCCGGTCGGGCGACCGGAAACAAGGTCATTATTTGTTTTGGCCTTATATAATTATTTATTTTTGAAGTAACGTATGCAGCGAAGAGACTGTATTTGGAAAGTTCGAGTTGAGGTACCCTAATGTATGAGTGGCTGCAATGGAGTCTGCGAGTGCTTAGAAAAGACTATGCTCATGGTTATACTAGTAAAGGCTATGCCACAATGTACTTCTGCCATAATTTGCTACACACGTTCCCTTGCGACGAAGCTTTTCCATATAGCCATGGCACCCATATCCTCCGGGACACTCTCTTATGCCGACGCTATTTTACGGCCTCGTGTTTGCAAAAAGTTCGCCATGTTTTCATGTTGTGTGACTTGGAGTCCCAGGACGCAGTGATTGTCTCCAGAAAGACTCCAAGAATCTCAGTTGCTTTATGTGTGTGTGTGTGTGTGTGTGTGTGTGTGTGTGTGTGTGTGTGTGTGTGTGTGTGTGTGTGTGTGTGTGTGTGTGTGCGTGTGTGTGCACGTGTGTGTGCATGTGTGCATATGCGTGTGTGCAAGTGCATGACTTTGTGCGTGTGTTTTGCTTTTCTTGGACTTGCATTGTCTGTACTCGCAGGCGTAGCCAAGCATTTCCATGTCGCGTGCATTGCACATTCATTTTCCAACACAATCGGAATAACCGTCAGTCCTAACCAAATCTGGAAGCACCTGCGTAGCATGTATGACTTGGAGACACTGGTGAGTCACATGTTACGCTGTACCTACTGTTTAGATTTGTGTATGTGGGTGTGGGTGTGTGTGTGTGGGGGGGGGGGGGGGGGGGGGTGCTGTGCATGTGCATATTGTGTTCAGGTATTCATGCGTCCGTGGGCATGTGTGTGTGCGGACCTCACTCCTGTTTTGTATTGGTTCGTACCAGCTCGAGTGTGTACTAGTATCCGAGTTTCGATACCTTGGGTCGATCATCAATACCTCAGTAACCTGAGAATAGCGGCTGCCTCTCGTGTGTTTGGATCCCTGCAAAAGCCAGCGTTCAGCAATCACCACCTGTCCGTCCGCACGAAGAGGAATATCTTCAATGCGTGTGTTGTTTCCATCCTGCTGTACGGAGCTGAGTGCTGGGTATCCCTCCAAGCTGACATTTGTAGGTTCTCCACTTTCTTCATGCAATGCATGCGTACCATTCTTGGCATTTCGAGGATAGATGCATGGCAAGAACGGATCGGCAATGATCAGCTGCTGGAAATGTGGATAGACAAGCGCCCACTTGCTGTCTTGATTCGCCAACGACGGCTTGAGTGGCTGGGTTGTGTAGCTCGCATGCCATCGCAGTGCATCCCGAAGATTCTGCTGTTCGGACTACTCCCATCCCGCCGTCTGCCTAGTGGTCCATGCAAGCGCTGGAAGACTGCATTGGCATTGGCGCAGATCTCAAAGCCCTGAATGTAGTGGAGGGACGGTACAATTTGGCAGATTCTCACTTTGCCTGGCGCCGCATGTACTTCAGTTTTGAACCCGAGCCGCCTGCGTGCAGTGTTCATTGTACAGTGAAACCTGTCTAAGGCCACCACTCAAGGGACGAGAAAAAGTGGTCACCTCGGCCAGGTGGTCTTCTTATCCAGGTTCAGTGGGTCACATGAACATATTTACTAAACATGTACATGCGATAATATTGGGGAGGTTTCGCTCTACGGAATTACGCATGAAAATAACGTAGGAACGAACTGCACGTAATTTTCATACGTAAAAATCAGCGCTGTTGGGTTTCGCTCCACGTGATTTCTCCACGACGGCTAAACATGCCTTGTTGCTTTGGAGACGCGTTGGCTGCATGCGCCCACCGCATGCACCAAGAACCGAAACCGCGTTTCCATTTTATTTTGCGCTTGGTGTACGGTGTGTGTACCTTCTGTTTCGCGCAGCTTGAACGTTGCCATGGATAAATCCGGAAAATGCAAAAAATATTTCAAAAAGTCCTACGGAGGACCCAACTTAGGAAAGAGCTTTCCTTCGGAAATCCGTAGAGAGATTTACGTATGAAAGTTGCCCTCGCTCCCCGGCGCGTACGACATACGGATTTTCATACGTAATTACGTAGAGCGAAACTTCCCTATTATCATTTTGATACAGCTATTCACTTGTTCCCGCATCCTCACACCTTTTCCGGGGTATTTTCAAGTGAATTTGCTGTTTTGTTCTCTTTGCGTTTTTGTTCCAGGACGAGCGGGAAGACTTGCCGTTTCCCAACGATGAAACCAACTTCTCTCTTCCCCCTGAGTTCTTCGATGACACAGCTGAGGAGGAAGAGGAAGACAAGGACGAGAAACTAGCGAGCGAAAGTAAGTTTTATCAAAGGTAACTTAGAGAAGTGACAAGCAGCACTTTGCCTGGCAAGCAGTTACGTAGACGTGTAGGTGGAATGCACGTACTGAAATTCCCCTTATCAGGAGCACATTTGGCTTCCAGATGGATGTCGAATCTTTGCCTGGTGTAGTTTTTTTCCTCGGTAAAATGCAGGAATGGTCTCTAGCGACACATTGAAAATGATATTGCATAACAGTTCCTGGCATTGCCAATGACTTTGTCTATCCCTGACACACCAAAGACAATGGACACCTTCCTTGTGTGTGTGTATTGTTTGATACATGGCTGTGTTTGATTCTGCAGTATTGTTGGCAACGTTAGAGTCGTTTTTTATTCTCTCTCTCTCTCTCTCTCTCTCTCTCTCTCTCTCTCTCTCTCTCTCTCTCTCTCTCTCTCTCTCTCTCTCTCTCTCTCTCTCTCTCTCTCTCTCTCTCTCTCTCTCTCTCTCTCTCTCTCTCTCTGCTTAGTTTGTGTGTATCAACACCATTGTTCTTTTATGGCTGCGCTCGGTATGTACACTGCAGCTTCAAGCTTGACGTTATCTGAAAAGAAGACTAGCAGTGGCCGGAGGGCCACGCCTGAGCCTCCCACACCTACACCGCCATCGGCCGGGACCAAGCGGAAACGGACGAGGGTCTCAGCTGCTGCGGCGTCCGCAGCTGGTTCTTCGCCGCCGTCTCCGAGCACTCCTGCACCGCCGGCCAAACGCCGAAGGACGTGATCTGCGTTGTGTGTGTGTGTGTGCGTGTGTGTGTGTGTGTGTGTGTGTGTGTATGCATGCGCGTGTGTGTGCATATCCACGCCAGCATGCTCTCGCTCGTGTTGATGTTGTCTATGTTGTCTTTGATGTTTTGTCTCGTTTGTGTGACTTGAGTTATGCTTGTGTACTTGGCAAAAGCAACAAGAATGTGCACTTCACGCCATCGCTCCGTTAGAATAAGCCAACATGCTGAAATTTTCCCTACTGTACATAGAGTGGCCTTGCTCCAGTTGTTGTCTTTTGGTCATCGTCGACTGATATCTTGTGTAAAGGGTTGGTTATCATTGGTTGTGTTTCCATCTCCAAGGCCTGGTGTGCCAGCTCCTCTCAGTTGCCTGTGAGTGTGGCAGCAGCCGGTGTGTGTGTGTGTGTAGTGCGAATGGCTGCTGTGTGTCGCGGGCAGTCACCATGCATCACAGTTTACCTATCTGTCCAACTGCTGAGTTTTAACTGCTGTAGGATTCAACCCCATGAAGCGATGAAAAAATCTTGATCTCATTCTTGGCCGCTGCTCTATCCTTGTTTCCCTCCTCCTGCCCTGCTGTGCAGGGCATGCTACGCTGTATTCCTATCTATTTTTATTAGAGACCGCTGGCGGATGTGGACTGAACTCCATGTACCTCTTCCCCTGCACTGTAGCTGTGCGTGCGTGTGTGTGCGTGTTAATTCGCATTGCCATCTTCCCAATGCCTCTGTAGATCAAACCAATGTCGTGTCAGTTTCTTTGTGCTACCTGTTGACTTGAAGCACACACGTTGCGATTGCTTCGCTTTATCCCAACGCTGTGCTTCACCACATGAACCATTTTTTTTGCGTGAATGCAATTTTTCGTGTTTGTTTGTTTTGGTCCTTATCACCAATGTTTGTTTTGTGTCACTGTTTGTCTGTAGAACAGTGCTACTGGTTGTGAAGCTATAGTCTGTTGATATTGCACACTCCATTTGCCTATCATATCTTATGCTATGTACAACTGGGTCAGACACTTGCATGATTTGTTACCGGTTTGCCGAGCTGGAAGTACATTGTGTGCACTGCTCGTTCCGTTATTTTCTTCCTATGCAAGTCGCAACTCCTGTTTTGAGTTGTTTTTCTTCTCTCTTCTTCTTTCCCTACTAGTTGCTGTTACACTCACTGATCCTTATGCACAGTTATACAGCATTCCCTCACTAGTGGGACCATTGTTATTAGGCTAGGGCCTGTTTTGGACTTCCCACTCTAAATAAAAGAATACAAACAAAACAAACCGTCCTCGTTTTTCCCATAGCCTTGGCTTTGGTGCAACCATAACCCTCATATCATTCATAAAATCATATCCGTTCAGATTGTCTTGTCTGTCTTGGGTCAAACTCACTACCAGTGCGTTACTTGCTCTTGTCAGTCTTGATCGCGTCTTGATACAGTCTGGGTTTACAGGTAGATCTACTTCACACTGTTCACCCCGGGTTTTTACAATCAAACCTTTTAGTTTTACGACTGCACTGGGCAAGCCGCGCCGGATATCTAATTATTTCGAAAATCTTCCGAAAAAAGTCGCGAGTTGTCATGACAGCGACAACCGGCGCGGGCATTTTGAACAGGACGCTTCGTACAAAATCTCAAACAGACTGTACATGAAGCAGCCAGCCACACTGGCCCACACGGGCACAGGCTGTGATTGTGAGAATGGGCAAGAAGCCAGAGAGCAGAGAGGGAGAGAAGCTTGTTCACAGAACGTCGGCTGGCTTCGCAGTCTCTCTCGTATGATAGAGGAACCTTCGTGTGTAAAAATGTGAAGAGTGGTTTCTCCGTTTTGACGCAAATTGAGACAATGGAGTCCGTCCTTTTGGAAACCTTTCAGCAATCCCAAAAAAGTGTTCAACGTCATAACCAACTTGTTGGAAAGCTAAAGAAAGCCCACGTGGGCTGCAAGGACTACAAGCATTTCAACGAAGAGTTCTTCAAATGCCTCCAACATGCCCTGGTTGAGTTCAAGCGTGAGCCAGCTGTTGAACGGGTATTGGACTTTGCTGTTCAGTTTTCCATCTCCACTGCCACCGAATCAGGCGACAAGAATATATTTTCATTCCTGATGGAGAGTCTGCTAGCACTGCACAGTAGTCGTGACAAAGGTGTGCGCATGCGAGCGGTGGAAATGGTGAGAAAGCTGCTGGATAAGATGGAGGACGATGCCGAAATCGACGTAAACCTGTGCGATCGACTGATCGACATAATGCTGATTCGACTGAATGACAAAATCCCTGCCGTGCGATGTCAGGCTGTGCTGGCCCTAGCCAGACTGCAGGACCCCGGCGACACGGAGTGCCCGGTGCAGGGAGCCTTCCAAAAGCTTGCCATGCTTGACTCCAGTCCGGACGTCCGCAAGACAGTCTTGTCGCACATCTTTGTACGCGCGGACACGATTGACATTCTGATCGGACGAACGCGCGACGTCAAGGACAACGTCAGGCGTACGGCATTCGCCGTGCTTGCCGAGCGTGTCAGCATTCGATCACTGACCATTGCTCAGCGTCGTGAGCTGCTGAAGCAGGGTTTGGCCGATCGCATAGAAACAGTCAAACAGGCATGTGTGCTGCAGCTGTTACCTGCCTGGATGAAGCAGTGCGATGGCAATTTCGTGCAGTACTTGAAGCGGCTGGACGTGGAAAGTGGCGACGAGTGGGTGGAGAAGTCTGTTGTGGAGCTGCTGAAGACCAAATCACCAGCCGAGCTCATCGATGGATTTCTGACGCAGCCAGACTGCCGTGAGCTTGTCGAGAATATACGGTCGCCGAAGGCTGATAGCACCACCAGTGGGCTGGATCCGGACGTTTCGTTCTACTGGAGATGCCTGTGCCAGCACCTGCGAGGCTTGGGCAGCAGTGCCGAGGAGTACCTGGATCAAATCCTTCCCGAGGGCGCCAGTCTCTGTCCGTTTCTCATGAGGTTAGGTCAATAGTCTTGTTCTTTGGGGGGGGGGGGGGGGGGGGGTCTCAATGGCTATCTCGCTTATTGGACTGCATGATATGTGTATCACAGGGCAGTGGCCAGGATCTTTGGCCAACCAACCTGATGCGCAATGCCATGTTTTTACCAACGTAGAAGGAGGGACTGCAGTATATGCTTGAATTGAAAAGCAACTGACAGTACAGTGGCTGGACCAGTACTGACTACTTTCCTGTGTGCAAGATACTGAATTTGCAATGCCCAACTTTACTGTAAGTAGTGCTGAAACGATTACGTTTTTTCCTTAGTGGCTTAGCTGATACCATAACGATCGGCTTATCGGCTAAACGATTATTAATTTATTATTGTAACTACATCAGTACATGTCACTGTATGTACATATTTGTGTCGTACTCGCAACACTTTCGATGCATGCACGCTTTGTGCGACCCCCAAAAAGGGGGGAATTCCCGTACCAAGCGTAAGTACCATTCTACTCGTTTAGCCGATAAAATCGAAATAACCGTTCGATATATTTCTTATAGAGTGAGTAACGAGTAATCGATATAATCGTTTCAGCACTAACTGTAGAGTAGAACCCGGGTTAAGGGTCCCACCGGATTAGGGATCGGAGCCCGGGGGGGGGTCACTTGGCACCTTACATAATTGTACGGGTGATCCTTCAGAGCCCGGGGGGGGGGGGGGGGGTCACTTGGCATGTACATTGTGAGGGTGATCCTTATACCGGGATTTAATTTCCGGCCCAAGGGGGGGGGGGGGGGTCCTCGTCGGTTTCCGAGGAAGCCGTAACTTTTTTCGCTCCAAATTTTTTTTCCGAGGTCCATCTACTCACAAGAAGTCGTTTTGCACACCTTTTTGCCCATCCCTGTACAACTGAGTCCAGCTATGTCCGCGCAGAGTTAGGTGGATCCTTAACCCTGGTTCTACTGTAAGTCATCATTTGTCATTTGCATGACATGGCGGAGTACATGAAGTTTTGGCACGGCTACAGTACTACCTGGGTACAAGTATTACCATTTCTAACAGGTGTTTGAACGGCATTGTGTTGTGTAGTGAGTGGCCCTAGTGTGGCTCTGGATTCTGTCTGTCTAGTTCCCAAGCATGTGCAGTGCTGTGCCTAGGTACATGTACTGGATGCTGTGTACACGTTCACATCACCTGACTGCTTGGGCTGAGCAATGTCAGTTACTAGTACATGTACTATAGTAGTCAGTGAGCCTACAGTGTGTGTAAGACTGCCATATTAACATGATATTATGATGGTCATGTGACTATCTGTTGTCACTTACCAGGTGTATATGTGATGCTGACACATCCAAGGTAGACAACGATGACACTGCTACCAGGGTCTTTGTTCTACAACAGCTCTTCAAGACAGCGCCATTGCTGGACTTTGCTGACGAAGTTGGCAGGTATGGACTTTTCCTGCGCACAAACTTCTTAGCGCCAACATACTTTCATTCCTAGCAGTACTAAAACATGGCGTGGCGTCTGTTAGAAGACAACACTGACTTCTGCAAGTTCCATCGCCTGCAACAAAACACCGCAGCTGCTTTGGAATAATACCCATGCTTGCTGTAGGCTAGTGTTGCTCTGCCATGGTGTTGATGATTGCATGCTGCAGGCAGTAGATCTGACCATGCTTTCATTGCATTGCGTTTGTGTTTGGTCTGAGCCTACGCTACTTGGAGGCCTCTCCCTGTAACTGTTGCGCTGTGCTCTTCTTGGTGTGTGTGTGTGTGTGTGTGTGTGTGTGTGTGTGTGTAGACGGCGTCTACGTGATCTGGTGTGCAAGCTGCTCCCAATGGATAATGTGCCCGATGTTCTAGTGCCCATGCTGGCAGCTTGTCTTCGAGCCGTGGAAAGCAGCCATGACGCACGCATGGACATTCTCTTGGAAATCATCTCCGACATCCACATGCCGATGACAGAGCAAACCATGGGTGAGGGCTGGTTGCATCCGTGCATTGTGTTGTTTGTACAGTGCTGTGTTTACAAATTATGGGTGAGACTGAGAACTCTCTGTGTGTGTGTGTGTGTGTGTGTGTGTGTGTGTGTGTGTGTGTGCGCGTGTGTGTGTAGGGGGGGGGGGGGGTGTGCTCTATCTTGCAGTGCTGAGTTCTTTGCTAGAGTGCTCTTTGGTCTGGGTTTTCTTTTTGTTTTGCAATCACACCCAAGAACATTGCTGCAATGTTACACAATGGCAGGGGCGAGCGAGCTGCTGTTCAGCTTGTAACTGATAGCAGGGCACTTCACCGATAGCTCTATACAGGTTGTCAGATACTTTCTTGCCAGCAGTCAGGCCATCCCTAGCTCTCCTCAGATCTCTTGTACAGGTGACCGGAGTGACTATTTCGTTTGAGATGTTTGGCTTGTTCATTATACTGAAGCTCCACTGTACAGTAAAGGAGTACATGTACTCAGTGCAGACCTGTTTTGTCGTTTATTGAAAAGTAAATTGTGTTTGGTGATGGTGTTGCTGTGCTGTGCATCCTATGTCATCCGTTGTGTTTGGTTGCTCTCTTCAGATGCTGATCAACTCCAATCGACCCTGGCCAACATGAGCCTTAGCGTGGAGCATGTAAGTTGCTCTGTGAATCTATAGAACTATGTGCCAGCTATGGTTGCTTGTATCCTTACCATGAACTATGTGCCAGCTATGGTTGCTTGTATCCTTACCATGAACTATGTGCCAGCTATGGTTGCTTGTATCCTTACCATAACTACACGGTGCACTGCAAACCAAGTACATGTACCGTATTTTCTGGAATTGGGGCCGGTCTTTTATTACCGCCTGTCTGAAATAAGCGCCACGTCATTTAAGGGATTTTGTGGGGATTTTTTCGAATTAGGTGAAATATTTGGTCACGCAAACTACTAAGCGCCTCGGCCAGTATCGCCGAAAATAGGGTGTTCATGTCATTGCAGGTTTTTCTTTAATAAGAGATGTGTAGTCTTCTTGCACCTTCTGTTCGGGTTTCAACAGCCCTGACCGTCATGCATGTGTCTGTTTGGGGCTGTGCTTCAACAGGTTCCACTGGAAGCACTTCTGAAGTGCCTGTCCGTACTGCAAGAGCTGCTGTTAGATGTAACTCGGCCCTCGCTGAGCCCATCGTTGAGAGCCTTGACCGACTCTCTGGTAGGTTTCTTGAGGTGTGACATTGCCCTTTTGCTGCTGGTCTCTCTCTCTCTCTCCTACGTCAGTCCTGACTACATGTTTCAGCCATGAACGCCGTGTTTGGGATTCTCTTTGTTCATTAACTTCATAATTCATAAGCAAGTGTTTGTCCTGTACTTCTGTCCTTTTCTCGCCAGGTTCTGCCGTGTATTCAGACACCCGACCCGGTTATCCGAGAAGCAGCTGTCAAGTGCCTCGGCCTGTGCTGCCTGTTGAGCTTGGACTTTGCAAGGCAACACATGCTGCTCTTCCTACAGGTACTGCACCACGTCTTCGCTTGTTAGGGTGAATGCAGTGTGGGCAATTGCGGCGTTACATCAAGTTCTAGCAGCACCCAATGTTCGTACAGCGCGTTTCTACACTTCGTAACATGTGTGTGTCTGTGTGCATGTGCATGTGGGTATGTATGTGTATGCTTGTGTGTGTGTCTGTGTCTGTGTGTGTGTGTGTGTGTGTGTGTGTGTGTGTGTGTGTGTATGTGTGTGTACTGATAGTTTGTTGTGTCCGGTGTATCTTATTCCTAAGTTTCACTGTACTGCAGTGCCTGATGTACACTGGCACTGTGTTGGGGTTTTTTTCTTGCGTTTTTCTATAGCTCCACTGGCATTATCCCCCCGTCGCTTTACCAGGTTAGCTGTGACCTGTTTTAGTGGATTAGACATTGCCCTCTCACATTCTGTCTCCTCGTTTTTTTCTCCTGCCAGGCGCTTGAAGTGGATGTTGAAGAAGTGCAAAAGGTTGCCTTGCAAGTAGTGTTTGATCTTCTGCACACGTACGGCTTAAACTCCTTCGAGATCAAGTCTGCGAAGGACAGTACGTCGACGGAGCATGATGAAAATGGAGAAGAGGTCAGTTCAGCAAAGCGCTCAGTATGTGGACCGGTGTGCTGTGAAGCAAGGGGTTCTTGAAGGATGTCATTATTCAGTGCTGTGGCGCATATGAACGCCGTGCTTTAGCAGCATTGCCATAGCAGTGTTATTCCACAGCGTAGCGTCTGCGAGAACTCTGTGTTTGTGGAGGGGGGGGGGGGGGGTCTGGGTGTACAGCTGTGTTTATGGAGGGAATAAGCAACTGTGTAAGACTTTATCGTAGATACGTGAGCGAATCAAATTTGCTGTGTCCGCTTTACTGGAACTCCATGTGCCATTCGTGTGCAATATTCGTACCGTGCCTCGTTCACTTTCAAGTCGAGGGTGCAATCAATGCTGCTGCTGTACATGTACTAGCATGTAGGCCTCATGCAAAGTGCTACTGTGGCATTGGTAGTGAGGCACACCAACTGTGAACTGTCCATCATGCCAGCAGTCCTCTTCTGTTTTCTTTCTCTGTGTTATGCAGAAAGCAGAAGTTCAGCCAGAGGAGGCCAAGAGCAATGTGGCAACTGGGATTCTCTCTGTTGTTTCTCGTTACCTTGATAGTCAGGTTGGTGGTGGAGCTTAGAACTTGGTGCTATTTATATGGCTGTGCTTTGAATAGTTTGTGCATTTGGCATTGCCGCTGTCCATTGATGTTGCAGCGTGTGACTGCGCTTGTTCACATGTGTGTGTGTGTGTGTGTGTGTGTGTGTGTGTGTGTGTGTGTGTGTGTGTGTGTGTGTGTGTGTGTGTATGTATGTATGTATGTGTGCGTATGCGTGTGTGTGTGCCCGTGCCTGTCTGTCTGTCTTCTTTCTGAAGAAGACCAGTATAGTCGAAACGTCAACTCAGTCCTGTCTGTGCAATGGTCCAGTCATTTCTTTCATATGTCTGTCTGGCTTTCTATCTGTGTCTGTGTATATGTACCGTAGGTTGAGGAGTTATGCCACACTGCCATGCTTGGTTTTGCCAAGTTGATCCTTGCCGGCCGCCTGGTCAGCTCCAAGGTGCTACTGCGCCTCTTCTTGCTCTGGTTCAATCCAGCATGCGATGACGACTTGTTCCTACGCCAGACTCTGGCAGCCTTCTTCCCGGTCTTTGCCTCTAACTCCAGGTGAGATACTGTTGATATGCTACATGTCCGTGATCTCCAGACTTCTTGTGAATTTGACAGGGACACGCTATCTGCACTGTAGGACATGGCATATTAATAATTGACCTTAATTAAAGGTTGCAGCAGTGTCTGTTGGGACCTCCTGTGCATGTACTAGCATAGTAGATGGGTAACCTCTGACGTTTCTCCCGCAGGATTCCTGCTCACTGTCTTTTTCGCTGGGTTCCCTGCACCCTTCCACGCATGCACTCATATACACATGCATACATACACAGAGTCTTCTCCTCTTTCTATCACTCTCTCTCTCTCTTTCTCTCTCTCCCTGTGTGTCCAAATGACATTCTCTTGATGTTCTTCTCCTTCTCCAGATTCAACCAAGAACAACTCGGCAGTATCCTACTGCCTGCCCTGACAACAGTGTGGCAGGCACCAGACTCCTCTCCACTCGCTCTCATCAACGTCAACGACTTGACCCAGTTCTTGATTGAGTTCACCGATCATCGGCATCTGCGTGGCAAGCATGCAGCTGATGCCGATATGCAGGTATGCAGATAGTGTACAGTATAGCAGCTGTTATGCATGCCAATCAACCCTGGTCCGTTTGTTTCTCCTGGGCACTAGTGCATCTAAGCCGCGGGGATATCTAGTGTAGAGGTATTATCCTGCCTATAGTATACAAACTTATTCCCGGGCTTTGTGAAAGGTGTGTGACGTGACGTAGTAACGCAATCTGTCTGGCAAAAAAAAAAGCCAAGGTCAAGCAGCCTTTATCGAGGAGTACATGTCGGCGGGCCACCGATTTTCGTTTAATCTACGTGACCAAATGGCCCTGGGTGAGCGACTGGCGTGTACCGTGTAGCGACGGTTCTATCACATTGCCAACTCCGCCAGATGTTGCCAGGAATCGTAGGTGACAGTTGAGTGGCTGCAACACCTGGTGAAGTCTGACATTGCCGCTATGCATGCTGTATATGGGGAAAAATTCAAATCTGTGCATGATATCGTGATGCTCTGAGGCGGGCCAGTTTGGACAATACAAGGACAATGTGGTGGACGACTGGCTGCAGCGACTGGCAGTGACTCACATGTGTGGCAAGGTATCACATGACCAAATTGACAGTTGTTATTGGGACTCATTTGCTGGTCACCATGTGTCCTTCGATAGCTCAGTTGGTAGAGCGGAAGACTGTAGTGTGCACACGATCAGATGTGCAGTCATCTTTAGGTCGCTGGTTCGAATCCGGCTCGAAGGATTTTTTTGCTTTTTTGGTAGCAAGAAAAGAGGAGGGTAACAACACGGTGGGATCTGTGCTGCTATGAATTCCTGCATGGCACGATTTTTATTTCGTCATTTTTGACGGAAATATAATCAATTGTATAGGCCTAGCGCCTTGGCATGCTTGTTGAGTAAATGCAGTGTCAGTTCAGTACCACATTACGTTGAGAACGCATGGGTCTACCGTCTGTTGGTCTGCTTAGACCACCGTGAGTGCTGTTTGCAAGTTTTCTGCACTTTTGATCGCTCACAGTCTCGCCACATGTGATGACATCAGTGAATGAAATAGCCACTAAAGATATTTCTTGAGACTTTTCCCGTGTGCATCTTTCCCACAAAGCACTGAATAACAGCCGTATCTTTCAAATAATTCCGCCATGGGCCGAGGGATCACTAAGGTGTACACTCTTGGTTATATACCCTTCCTTGCCCACAGGGCAGGGCCGGTGCCACTGGTACGGCCGGTACGGCCATGGCCATACCAAAAAAATCCCCAAAAGTCGGTCTACGTGGCCGTGGAACGTCCAAAACGGGGGAGAAAAAGTTTAGATGTATGATTTTTGTACAGGGAGTCGCCCAGAGTGCAGGATTTGCCGTCTAAATTCCAAAAAAATTCTGCGGGAGGACCCCCGGACCCCCCTTAAAAATGTCCCTTCGACCGCTCCGCGGAAGCAGCCTCCGGCCCTGCAGGGTGAGAAAGACCATAAGTTGATTCTTGAGAAACAAAGACTCCTACCGCGATTTTCTGACTACAATGTACATGTACAGTTGTGGCGAGTGAAATCCGACACTTGCCATAGGGGACAGCGCCACAAATGGACACCAATGATGTAATGCACTGCACCTAATTTGTACTATAGAGTCGTATGCATGCCGAACAGATCGAAAGGTCACAGCGTAGATACACACAGTTCACAAATATGGTACACATAAGGAGTATTGGTATCCAATCCCCATTCATTTTTGCCAGCACCTTTTGAACCTTGACTGTGATGAGTACGAGTTTTGTCATCAGACAGATAAAGTTGTATGTAACACATGTACAGTACGTATGCAGGGCTGCAGGGGCTGCAGACTGCATGGTGCAGTCCCTTATGCCAAGTACGGATTTCACTTGCCACAACTGTACAAGGTCTCCATGGTGAACTCATTACATTGTACATATATTGTGTCAACCAGGTGTTTTATTTGTTGCATGTCATTTCCTGGATATTATTGTGTGTCCTTCGATAGCTCAGTTGGTAGAGCGGAAGACTGTAGTGTGCACACGATCAGATGTGCAGTCATCTTTAGGTCGCTGGTTCGAATCCGGCTCGAAGGATTTTTTTCTTCTTTTAGGCCATTTTCAGCGTAATTTTGTAGAACTGTGAATCTATGTGCAATTTGCCAATTTACCTTATCAGCCTTTTACTGGTTGGCTTGTGCACGCATTCATGTTGTTTTATGGTGGCACACACCTTTTTTTTCTTTACTGCCGCAACAGGAACGAACAGTTCATGAAGACATTGCCGTCAAAGTGGCCAACAAACTGTTGACGGATGAGGAGGACATTGATGAACGTAGCTTGTGCCGAGTACTTAGCCTTCTCTACCTCTTGCCCACTTCAGTAAGTATGACATTGGAGCTAAGCTGCGAGTGGCTAGCAGTCAAATCGTCATGTGTATGAAACAGTACTCTGTGCCGAAGTGGTCTTTTAGTTTAGTCGTTGTGTTCTTGCGTGTTCACAGTCATGGCTCGGGAGGGCAAAGCAGTCATGCGTGTCTGGTGACCATGTTCTTGTGCTCTGTGTGGGTGTGGGTGCGCGCGTGTGCGTGCGTGTGTCTGTGTGAATAATGGAAAACACCTCCTATAGTCCGCAGGCCAGGGTGCAAAATTCGTACTTTTCGCTCCGAGCAGAAGGGTACCAAGGTTTGACTATACGAAATGATAGAGTGGTGCTAGGGCTTTCTTATCATGTATCTCTTGTCCCGGGATTCTTGTCCTAAGTTGACCAAATCAAAGGAATACTATTATTTTGATGTTGCCATGGTAACGGAAGTCGAAATTCAAATTTTACCACCTTTCCTATGCTGTAAGCAGTTCCAGTTTTTTGCATTGCCAAAGAAAGACCAAGAACCACCGGTATCCAAGGTTTGATGATAATCGTGCAACTAGAACCCATGCTGCCGGGTCGCCCGCAGTACGACAATTGTGTGCATACAAAAGGTCAATACCATTGCACTGTAAGTACAGTAGTTGGGTAGAAGGGGGGTGCTCAGCCCCTCGATTAGGGATGCAGAATGGGGTGGAAGGGGAGGCTCTCCCCTCGTGATATACCTGGACATTTTACAGTCTTTATCACTTGGTGGGCCTTGTTTCACAATACAAATCAGAATGCCCTTTGGTATACAATAGCATTACAATCACTGATAAGATTATGTCCAATACATGGATCGTCTTTCGTAATGAGCTGTAGTCAAATCACATTGGGGATCGGATGTACATCAGAAGCAAAGAACAGAGTACTCATCACAAGTATTATAATGTACATGAAATACACATGTAGGTGGGCTTCTCCATGTGACTGGGCCATCATCTGAAACAAACTTCGGCTGTTATCAAATCAAAATGAAGGCGTAGAAAATATAAAAAAGACAAAAAGAAGAGTATGCCATCACATGGGCATTGGACAATGTACAATGTGGGAGGGCTATCCGGCAATCGCTGCCAACTCAGTAATGGACTTGAGCGGGGAACTGAACATGCACAGTATATGCTGCTATGCACAGTATATGCTGCTATGCACAGTATATGCTGCTAAGCGGCCAACAAAATATGGACGCCGAGAGATGCACATAAATCTGACGTAACAAAGATGTTGGGTTTGCATTATTACCAACCACATACTCATACTACATTGTTATACACTATACACTATACACTACGCTGTTTCAGAAGCCAGCAAAAACACTCAGCACATACACGTGTATGCAACAAGTAGAGGTGCCTGACTTTTAACCGCATCGGTCCACTAGTTTTGAGCACATACTGGGTAAACCGACGTGATCCGCACTTGCCATTCATTCAATTACCTGCATTGACAGACCATAGAATCATAGAACTCACTGACTCACAGTATGACCTTACATTGTAGTCACCCATGAATCAGAATAGGGAAGCATGTCACAACGTGAACACAGTTCTGTATACCCAATGTTTAGAGTTGAACAGTTACATGTAACATAAAACGAAAGTGCATTATCCGTGTGTCCATAAATGGGTGACTCACTGCTGCTCAGTGTCAGACGGAAGATCTCCCTCATCGATGGCCTGTACTTCGTCATGTCCAGGAGCAGATTCCACCGGGCAGTTCTTGCATGGAACTGAAGCATGATGGTGACAGCTACAAGCATCTGTACACACGAGCATGTGACGCCTGCAGGAGCAATTGCCTCCTCCACAGCCAGTCTTACAGCCACAGCTGAGAAACTCGAGGACAGAGTGGGGAGCGGGTGGTATACTAAGCCAGTCCACAGCTAGATCACCGTTACCGTTCTGGTCAAGACACCAACCTGTAATGGGGAGAACAAACAGATGGAGGAATGCAAATTATTTACTCCATATATCAGAAAAGCTTCTTACACTACAACAGTCAATTACTTCATGCATGATTGTGTTGATAACACAGCTGATTCACTCTATTGTATAAGTAGCAACATCAACGAACATGTCTTGTTCAGAGAATATCCATCATTTTCATACTGCAGTCCTCCTCTACAACTGCATTATATGCTACAGTCAGCTCACTCACCTTGGCCATTATCTTGTGGTGCTGGTATCGCAGGCTGGGCCACAATGCACTGGCGCCAAATGGCAGCTTGGTAGTTAGCTCTCGCGGCATGCTTCAGGAAGGCATCTTTGCATGGTGGAAGCTGGTTTGACTGCAAGGTCTTTGTGCAGAACAGCTCATACCTTGCATCGTTGACGCTGCTACAACCCGAGACTTTGTAATAGGAGCACACAAATGTCTCAAGGTTGATGAGCACATCAGCTGTCAGTGGTTCGAAGCCTTTCCCCAGGGAGGTGAATGCTTGCCGAGATGTAGACCCAACAGGACCGGTGCTTTGCAGAATCTTCAATGCAGCCTTCTTCCCGCGGTATGCAAAAGCACTTGTGCTATCACACCCAGTAAAGGCGTGGAAGCCTGGCAGTGCTTGGCAGAGTTCTGGGCCAAGCTCGTCGCTGACAGTTACCATGTCGATGCATCGAACCTTGTTCCCAGTCCCAGTGAGGAAGTACAATCTTCCAGAGATGCAATGGCGGGCGAAGGCAGCCAGAACTGCTACATCAGTGTCCGGGGACTTGACCGTGACGGTGGGATAGCCTGCGGATCCAGCATGAGATGCATGCAACAAGAGACGGGTATCCGCTTCCTCGTGGCTGCACTCCAAGTCAGGTACAGGGACGACACTTGTAGCACCTGCCTGACGTTTGATCATCACACAAGAGCTACCACTGGTAACGACAAGTTCCCTCTGCTCAGGCACCTTCTCAACCATGGCAGGACGCTGCCACTGTACGGCGAGGAATGCAATCAATTCCTCTTTGTTGTCACCCACTGCCAGGAACTTGGCAAACTGCCTGGGAAGCCGTTGATCAGCGCCAGTGATATGCTGCCGTAGAGTCCCACTAGCGGCCCGTGATGAACGTTCCAGATTCTTGATCGACATATCCCGGTACGTATCAACAACAAAGTCCACTCGAGCATACCGTGCAAAGAACTTACACAGGCGATCTAGGATGCACTCAGCATATTCGGCAAACGTGGATGGCAAGCTGGAAGTCTTCATTGACCTCAACAGTGCCATGGCGTCGACTATTAGTGCACCATCAGGTGGGTGTGTACTGTCGTCGACAATCGCCTTGTCCGTGAGCAACGGCAGCAGGGCAGACTTGCTGGTCTTCACCAGAGATCCTGACGTTGTTGCTAAAGCCCAGGGCAGGGGGCCAAGTGGGTATGACAGGACATGACGCATATCCATCTGCCTGGTCTGAGCAATCAGGGCAATCCTGGAGAATGTTGACCGATCACTCCGGAGAATTTCGGCTTGACCACTTCCTGGAGTCTTCTTCTTCTGCTTCTTCAGAGTGAAGGTCTTCAGCTGCAGCTTCTTCAGTGGATCGTGGAATTGTTTCTCGGATGCTCCAGACAACAGTCTCTCGCTAAGAAAAGCCGTGAAGGCCTTGTGTCCACGAGATTCGGCATGGAGCAGATCCTGGGCTACATCATGGGGTGCCTCAATGCCAGATGCGAACTGTGTCAAAGGCAGCGGTTCCTCGCCGTCAGATGCGAATGGGTTGAGAAACTTGCTGACAGTCTCGACCACACTCACGACATCGTTTTCATCACGAGCCATTCTTCCCGTCTGGCACTCTTTGTGCAGGGTATCTCGCTCCTCGGTACCACTGTCCATACCACAGTGCTCCGAACAGACATCTGCCACAGCGGCTCGGTCATGTGCAGTCAACACCCATCTCTGCACGGTTGCTGGATGGCGGCTGAACCCAATAATGCCTCCCACGGTCTTTGTGGCCCGGTTTATCGACTGTTCAATGGCCTGGTCAGATGGGACCTGAGCAAATGGGTTGTTGGAGCGCTGGACGGAGAAACCTCCTTCTTGCAGGAACCGATCCGCTTCGGGATGTGTTGTTGGCAACTGGGTCATTTGCAGCCAATAATAGGACATGTAGCGGGCATAGTTTTGCCTGTCGTACGCAAAGCACCAAGGGAGCATTTTCAAAACGCACTGCAGATGGAGCTTCCAATCTGCCATTCGACTTGCACGCAAGAACCGGAGCAGAAGGCTCACCATGGCAATGTAGGAAGACCAGAAGTTGAACATTTCTGATGAAGCGGCCCGCTTCCGGCAGTACTCCGTATACTGCTTGTGCAACTCCACAGCCTCCGGTGATGCCGTGATGCACGCCGAGTTGTCATCGGTGACACAAGACTGTAGCTCCTTGAATGAAGACGTTAGTGAAGATCGGATGGCTGCTAGGTTGATGATCGTGGGATCCGCATCTTGCACGAACTGCTGCCACCGCATCCGATGCAAAGCCTCTGCAACAACCTTGTGCAAACGCACAGCTCGGTTGTATTGAGTCCCGTCTAACGCAGACGAGGCAGAAGATGGTCCAGCTATCCCGGACTCAACGAACAGATCAAGGAGACCTGCATCACGGAAACGCTTCCCGATGATGGCGAGGAACGTGCAGGCTGCGTGAAACGCTCCCAATCTCAGCACCACGGGTGAGAACTCGTCAGGCCGGTGGTTAATAATGTCCAATGCCTTTGCGTAAATGGCTTGGTCCACTACAATGATGCTAAATGGGAGGCCAGCATTGGCACATCGACCAAGGCACTTTCTGAGGATGGCGTAGACTGTTGACATGTCAGTTGGTGACGAGTTGACCACAGGGCAGTAACCTATGGCAGACCGTGGTGGGATGCATTGGCGTTGAAGCAGGGCATTAAATGCCGACCACGCTGGAACTGTCTGGTCTTGATCAGTGCGGGACAAAATGACGTTGCCGATGTCACCGTCCTTTGAAGCCCGTGCAAGCTGCCAGATGAAGTCATCCATGGCCACCGCGTCAGAACAGTGAGGCAGTGAGGTGTCCAGCGTCTCCACGTCAACTGCCTCACGGCGCTCTGGGTTGACTTTTGTCGGGCACACTAATTCGGGAAGAACCTCAGGTTCGAGGGCCAGCGTACGCTTGCGTTTTCGTGCTGGCTCAGCAGGAGAAACATCACTGTCAGGGCGGCTTACAGATGAAGCACGGGGCTGGACAACAACGGTGTTGGTGCAGTGTGTGGTCCCTTTCCCGTCCAGAGTCTCCTCGTTTAAGTCGTTATTATCTGCTACATGGTAGAATGGCCGGTGGGGGTCAATGCCACCCGGTAACGCATCCACTATGTGCCCGTCTCGCACTCGCCGCTCTGCCATAGCAGTCTCCCTTTCCAAAACCTGGGAGTAGGCAATGGTGTGCCCAAACCGGTTAAGCATTTTCAGCAGCTTTTCGCTCCGGTAGAGGTGATGTAGGGTAAGTCCCAGAACAACATGTTTGGGGCACGGCAGTCCTGATGTAATATACAGCAAATCCTGGCCAATGGAGGAGACGTGACGTTGCAGCTGCTCATCCAAATCAACTTTGTCCTGACCGATGTCATCATGATGCTGGTCAGTCACTACCCAAGCCAGAAAGTTGTGGAGTAGGCTGGGTAAGCATGCGTTTGCTTCAGCAACTGTTGGGATCTCCCCGCTTGACTCTTGGGCCTTTGTCTCCTGGCACGCAGTCCGTAAAAGACGTGCGGCGTGATATACAATACGCAGGCGATCTTGTGCTACAACACCTTCACCTCCTGAAGTGTTAGCTGCATTGTCCTCCTCCACCCAAATATCATCATCAACCCCATCCGAATCCCTCGCCTCTTCCACCTCGGCATACAAACTGGCTATTATCTCACTGGCATGGGCATTAGCGAAAACTAGCTCAGCCGTGTTCCGGGACGGACGGCGCACAAAAGTGACAGATTCACCAAACCGTTCTGTGATAGCAGCTTTGGTTCTGTCATTCCTAGCAGTTCCATGTACTGTCGCGTTGTAGTCTGCCGTAAGACGTGAAATGCTAACAGCAGTGCGTTCCACAAACAGCAACTGGTGTACTAGGTGGTAAAAGTCTTCGATGTTTCCCTCTTGTCTTGGTGTTGACAGGTCATGCTCAGCGCTACCTGCAGACGAGCTAGTGACTAGGGTCGATGTAGCTGGGGTCGATGTAGCTGGTGTGCTGTCACGGATTCGTGCAAGGGATGACTCTCTTGTAAAATCGTTGTAACACTGTTTGTGATAGTATGCCTCTCTTGCAATGAGGCTACTGACTGCTGAAATGGCAATCGAAATGCCCTCGTCCTTCCGTATGGCAGCAGCTTTTCTCAGCCTTTCCTCAGCTTCGAGTGTCAAAATCTGCGAAGTACTCTGCTTTTTGTTGGTACCTGGTATTCTTTTCTGGATGGATCCACAAAATATGCAATTCTTCCTTCCTGGCTCGGTACGAGGAACTTCAACGGACTGGCGAGTACTGCGCTTGTTTAGGGACTCTGAAGAAGCAGGCGAGGACGCCATGAGCTGGACGACAAAGGCCTAACACAACGCGCAATCATTGCTTGACATAAGGAAAGGAAGAACAGGAAATGGCTGTACGTGCAATAAGAAATTTGACAATGTGTTCGCCGTCACCTGATCACTCAGTTCAAAATTTCCAAATTCTGCGTGGCGTGCATCACTTGATCCGTTTTGAGCAGTTTCCGTGCATGCTCAGAATCCCCATACACGACAGCTGTGCATATTTGACAGCTGTCGAACCCCCCCCTCAATTCCACGCGAAAGGACAAGTCCCCTGACACCAAACCTACATCATTGTGCTCGTAAAGGAACACTCTATCACGTAGAGTCAACAAACCTTGGTACCCCATCAGCGGGAACGAAATTTTTTTTGGAGCATTTTTTTCCGCTTTGGCCTGCGGACTACTAACTGTACAGTTCATTGTATGTTTTTCTTTGTTGTTGATAGCCAGTAGCAGAGGAGCTGCAAGCGCTTGACAATCAGCTTCTAGAGGTCAGGTGTCTAAATCATTGGAATTTTTAATAATAATTATTATTTGTGCTATGTGTTGTGCCTAATACAGTGATGTAATAATTATTATGTATGGGCCATATACATACATATAATGTGCTGCGTCCTTAAGGTGGCGATCTACCTTCGCGGATAGTCCACCGTAAAATACAAACATCTCAGCCAATTCTCTTTGGAATTAGGTCAAATTTTCTGGAGACATTCATTATGTACCAAAGGACAAGGAGCAGCACAAATAGAGGACAGACTCCGCTCATGTCCATTGTTATCGCCGAATCGCGATAATTGGCCGCACCCGCACCTCTTAACCGCAAAATTGAAATATGCATCCATCAAGTAGAAAATAACCAATTGCTACAGTGTTCCTAACATATATTTCTAGGTACTGAATATCAAGAAACAGTTGCAAAGTCCTTTAGATCACAATGTCACAACAAAGCGTTTTGACGCGCGCATCCGCAAAAAAAGTCATGATCGGGTCCACAACCAATGTGAGAACAAGCAATGATAAATGGCTAAACGAAGACATTCACGAACTAGCTGATGCATCACAGAGCTCAGAAATGTATAGGTTTAGGGGTATAGCACCTACCACTTTGCCGCAATCGTGGTAGAAAAATGCGGGATAGGCTAAAAAGTTACCAAAAACACACAAAAAAGGTCTATCCAATTCCAGCCTACCTGCCTACAAATCTTCACATCAGAAGCCATCTGGCTCGTAGGTGACCTCATTTTGGTCTCCTTGATGATTAGTAATGCTCTTCTTCAGTCTTCTTTACTTCTTCCTTGACTTCTTTGTCACTTCCCACAAGTTCCCAGCTCTTCCTGGTTGTATCACAATGGTGTTACTTAGTGCGGTGCCGAGCAGAAACGCGATGCTATCTGGTTTCAGTGTTCAGCTAGAGTCTTCTTTTCTTCTCTAAGGGCTTGTTCAATCAGGATCATTGCAGGCAAAATCAAGTCGGAAACCCAGCCTTCACTGGTGGCCTCTCTCCATGCGTATGGCAATATAGGTGCTGATGAATGAGGCATATCCAGGGTGCAGCCATGCCGTTTCCGTCACACATCACGGCGATCGCATGCGGTTGCAGCACTGCCACTTTGGTAAATTGCCTCAGATCCAGCGTAGCAGATCACATGTCTGCTTCTGAACTCATCTCGGAGAACATGACCACAGATTGAATAGGATCGCGTTGCCGCCACAGGTCTTAGTATATATGGGCAGTAGAATATTGAAAACTATGCAAAGCGTCACTGGCGGTGATGAATTCGGCGCATACTAAATGCAGGCCTGTGGACTTCCAATTTGAAATTGAATTTCTCAGAACTGAATGACTTCTCTTCTCACCACACACAATCGTCAATGAAATCCCAAGGCAAATATCTGGGTTTGCCTGCTCGCTTAGTAGATCTACGATGGGATGTGGACTGGTACAGCTGACAGCATACTGATTTGACCAGAAATAGCAGAAATCACTCAATATTTCACAGACTAACTCCAGTAGGCTATATTTTGCACTCACTGCCTGACGCCGAAAGAGAGAGAAAAACTAATCACCACAATGGCTAGAACTGTTGTTGACATCGTCATCGTCAGAGTAGTCAGAGTTGGAGATGAAGTTGAAATACGTCTTCGCTTGGCAATTTTTTTGCCAATAAATTTGAACAGCGTCGTCAACGTCAGGGATATTTTCAGCGGATAGATGGATATCGAGAGCTTCTGGCAGTAATATAGGCTGCTTCGGGCATCCAAGACGACGGACAGTACTCATTCCACCCGATCTTGGTGACAGGCGACGACGTGAGACGTCTCCAATAGACTTTCCAAACACAATTGTTTGAATTCTTCACAAATTATCGAATTATTGATTTGCGCATGCGCACTGTGTCCATGATGACGTAATATGTGCGTATTGGTATGGCATGAGTCAGCAGTGGTATTTCTGACGAGCACAGAAAATTTGAACAAAATCCACAAGGATTTACCGTGAAAAGACTGATTTCTACGTTTTCCCCCAAAAAGTTGCAATTGTGCGTGTCAAAGATATGTTACATTCGGTCTTTGCAAGCTCATAGCAGCCATATGGATAAAGCAATCTCACTCAAATTTTCAGAGATGATGTCTGGGATCTATACGAGCAATTTGACACCGAATTGGACGAAATTAGAGCAAGTTGAAAATTTCACAAAATTTTGACCCCTGAAGGTAGATCGCCACCTTAACCCTTTATGGACGGATTACTAGCACAGTATGCACCAGAATTACAAAATGTCAGTACAATTTTCAACTTTTCCATGTCATAACTTTGGTGTCCTTCACTTGATTTTCACAATCAAGGGCTCATTGGAAAGCTCTTGGCGAGAGCTACGTCAGGGTACCAATCTCCTTTATCCGGCCGCCACAAATCAGGCGCGGTAACACAGCAAAGTCGTCTCCAAGCCTGATATGCAAGCAAATTCGTCCCATCAACGCCATTCCACTCTCCTTCATCGCAGAACGCTCAAATCTGTTTGAGACGATTCAAACTTCAGCCGGCTACGTCATTATCATGTGCTCAGTCGCTCAAAGAGCACACGAAAAGGGATTTTCCCCCAAAATGGCGAAATGATCGATCAAAAATTTGAATTTGCCGAGGTAAGAATACGGCGTGCGATATCTCTGGCATCCGACATTGTAACTCTTCAGCGATTGTTGCATTGGACAGCTTGGAGTTCCCGCTACCACGTAGACCCTTCGATTGTGGAATTTGCTCAAGAAACGATGGAGTTACGAAGTTACGAAGTTTCGATCTTATTAGATCGAAACTCGTACAGTCCGTCCACAAAGGGTTAAAACATGTATGACAGCAGTTGGATTGTGTTGACCATACGTGTACATGTATGTGCGGACAGCCAGATGCTACCTGTTGGAATTTCTGATATGCCAAAATTCTGTTCAAGTTTCTAAGGCATCAGTTTTTTACTTTTTTTTTATTGGTTAGTAATGGCCGATGACAGAATCTGATCTACTTTCATTCATGTTGTCAGTGTGGTGCATTGAGTAATCAGAGAAGTACTGTAGCCTAGGAGGCATGTGCCCTGGCCCCTGATCCTAACTTATATGTCTTGCTTGTACACTTGCTTAGGCGGTCTCTGACAAGATGGCACTTCGCTACCTAGCAAAATTCCGTTCGAATATCTCTGGCTCCGGTGAGTTTAAGTTGGTGCTGGTGGGCGGGGCATGTAAGCTTTCTTGTATCAATCGGGGGCTGCCTTCTGTTTCCATACAACATGAGTTTATATCTGAACACATGACTGTGTGTGTTTGTGCATGTGTGTGTGTGTGTGTGTGTGTGTGTGTGTGTGTGTGTGTGTGTGTGTGTGTGTGTGTGTGCATATGTGTGCGTGTGTGCATGTGTGTGTGCATGTGTGTGTGTTTCTTTGGAATAGGTAAGACAGCGAGAAGGCCAGCACCTGGTAAAACACCGTCATCGAGAATGAGACCGGCTGCAACACGGAGAACTACTGTCACACGCACTGCAACTAAGTCCGCCAGGAAATCACAAGCAGTTATTCTAGAGAGGTGGGTATTGCTCCTCCTCGTGCAAACCCTTCTTGTCATGTTTTGCCTTGTCAGATAAAGAGCCTTACTGTCTATGTCTTTCCTCTCGCCTCTCTTTTCTCTGTCTTGTACAGTGATGAGGATGACGACGGTGATCTTAATGAGGAGACGATTGGTAACTCACCGGTTGAGGCTCGACCCCGCCTTGCTAGGTCAGTAAATCCTACACGATGCCTGAATGATACCTGAAAATGTACTGCAGTTCCAATACACTTGTCTTGCTTTGGAGTCGCCCCGAAATCAAGCTTGGAACCTAACCTGGGCTTGTACGTAGAATGACATTGTGCTGCACTGCCCGAGTCTGTAGCATCCAGTTTGACTGGTCCAGCTTTATCTGGACTGTTGGTGATATGGCCACGGCTATCAACTGCAATGGCTAGACTACTTTTTAATGTGTGTACTATGTGCCTACTCCGCCTTGTGATCTTGTGGACCAGCCACAAGGGCGAAAATTCTTGGGTGCCCATCTCTATCCTTTCTGGCATGGCCGCCAAAGTCGCTACTCCTCGCCTTGCGTGGCTTTGCAATAGTTTTATATACATGCCGTCTTGTCACTGCACTCTTCTCCTCTGCAGAGGCTGCAAGAGTAAAGCGAAACAAGTCGAAAAACGCCTGTTCGACTCCAGCTCTGACGAAGCAAACGATGATGAAGAAGACTGTAGTGATTAGGTGTCAAGCACACCTGTTGTGAACGACCACTGTAAGATCCAATCATCAGCTTTGGTAGCATTCAGAGTGCTCTTGATTGCTCCACTAGGACATTGCCAGCACTTTTAACCTGTAGAACTGACTGTACATAGCCTACCATTTAACCTGGCTGATTCAGCAATGACGCACTTCAGCAGTGATTATCACGCTGTAATCTTGCATTGCCCTTCGCGCCACCTGCGTTAAACCACGGTAAATCCAGTTATCTGGTGCTACAGCTGCGCTCGGTGAAATCCGACCCAAAGTTCATATCTGGCGCCCTCACCGCCCTGGAAGTGGTACGCATGTGGCTGGATGTACATGTACGAATACCGTGATGTAATCGGAACTGGTCTAGGGCGTCAGGTTTTGCACTCTGGGTCGGATTTCACCGAGCGCAACTGTAGTGTGTTTGCTTTCTGCCGACCATCTTGTTTTCTTTTCCTTTGCTGTTACATTGTAGCTGTATCATTGTCTGCCTAGTTTGTACTAAATGATGATTTTTATTATACAAGCCGATAATAGGGCAAGTGAACTGTGTATAGTGCTCAGCTGATTTAGGTTAGGGGTGTGCTCAATATATTTTTTCTCCTTGTGCACACCTAGTCCATGATCCGTGTATTCACCATGCGTACGCATGCCGTCTTGATTATGGTTTTACACCTTTTTCTTTCTTTTCCTGCCTTCATCATGCGGTCAACATGACTGCGCTAACGTTTGAATGCGATAATGAAATCTAGACTCATAAACAGCGTACGGTGTTTTGCATGCAGTTGTCGAATACGGAGTTGAGTTGCTCTCAAGCGGCCAAAGCATGTGTTTTCAAGAGCTCTCTTGGTTCTGCGTGGAGTACCAGAGAGAGTCCTTCCATACTGACTTGCCTACCAGCCGTGCTAGATGTGCTGTCCCCCGTGAATTCCGCGGCAGAATATCAGAAATTCCGTGCAGAATTCTGCGCTATTTCTGCAAATCCTTCTCTATTCTGCGGCAATTCTGCAAGGAAAATGAGCGTAAAAACAGATCGAATTTCCGCAGCCCTACCGAAGTTTGTTGCGCCTATAAATTCTGAACCAACATTATGCGAAATCCAGGTCGAGAAAATTGAAAGCTCTAGAATATACTGCAAGTTGATTTTTGAAAGTCACAAGCAGGTTGGTTTGGCAGTGAAAATACATTGAAAGTCTCCAGAAAAAAACGTTTTTCTCTCTTTTCTGCAATATTCCACGGGATTTTCTGCAATCCGCGGAATCGCGGAATTCACAGGGGACAGGATGTGTCCTAAACCTTACTCTTGCTATCGTTGGGTGTATGATGGTCCTTGTGTGAATGTCCAGTATTGTCAAGAGTATAACATGCACCAAGAAACTCACATTGGATTTGGTGTAGAATTATAAGCGTGCAGCCCAGGACAGGACTGTGTAAGGGCATGTTCGATTGGTAAGGATCGGGATCCAGATCTCAGATCCCTCGGATCCTTCAGATTCATCTGAACACTTTATTTTGGACCTTGACTGTTGCCATATTGAAAATGGTTCTCACAAGGCACCAGGGAGTCGTAAAATACCATATATATATATATATATATATATATATATATATATATATATATGTATTTTACGACTCCCTGCAAGGCACCCAAAACTGGCAAAAGGGTGAACGTCGTACTCATCCCGTGCGTCGTACAAAAAGTCAACAAGCGCGCTAGCGCTCTATCTCGATCCACGTGTGCGTACCACAATGTGTACAAAAATGATTTTTACCCGCCATATACGCACAAAGATCACATTTGGATCCGGTCAACCCTGCTCCCCGAGGAGGGTTGACCGGATCCGAACAATTGAAAGGGTGCGAATCCAGTGGATCCGGATCCCGATCCTACCAATCGAACATGCCCTTACGCAACTGACATTTACACAACTCCCTACATACGACCTAAACGTAACCTTGATGCCCAACATGTTAAAGGGGAAGTATACCCTAAAATCAAATTTTCACCAGTTGTAGTCTTCGGGGTGCTGAGTCGAATGGTCTTGGTCCGAGGAAGCTGAGACGCTCCCTTCCTACTTGAATCCCAATCGAACTCGCGCACTTCCACCGAAACTGGGTGACTGCGCCCTACTAGATGGGGATTTGTATGCAAAATGTCACTAAAAGCGCCATTTCGTTCTTATAAAAGCACGGATGACCGCGATTGGCCCATATGTTGTAGTCTTTTGGACGCTGAGTCGACTGGTTTTGGTCCGAAAAGGCTGCGATGCAGCGTTCCTCCTTTATTCCCAATCGAACATGGGTGAAGAAGCGGTCACGTGCTCGTGCGTACACCAGTCGCCTGTTCACCGTGCCTGCAGGGTACAACTTACTAGCCTGTTTGACCTTTTTTGGGTGCAGTCCTGTCACTCGAGTTGAACTCGAGTTGAACCTTGGTGTGAAAGTTGTCGCCTGCTGGCGCGGTGACCAGGTGATTTGGGCACCCAGGAGCACGTGACCGCTTCTTCAACCATGTTCGATTGGGAATAAAGGAGGAACGCTGCATCGCAGCCTTTTCGGACCAAAACCAGTCGACTCAGCGTCCAAAAGACTACAACATATGGGCCAATCGCGGTCATCCGTGCTTTTATAAGAACGAAATGGCGCTTTTAGTGACATTTTGCATACAAATCCCCATCTAGTAGGGCGCAGTCACCCAGTTTCGGTGGAAGTGCGCGAGTTCGATTGGGATTCAAGTAGGAAGGGAGCGTCTCAGCTTCCTCGGACCAAGACCATTCGACTCAGCACCCCGAAGACTACAACTGGTGAAAATTTGATTTTAGGGTATACTTCCCCTTTAAAGGGGAAGTATACCCTAAAATCAAATTTTCACCAGTTGTAGTCTTCTGGGTGCTGAGTCGAATGGTCTTGGTCCGAGGAAGCTGCGACGCTCCCTTCCTACTTGAATCCCAATCGAACTCGCGCACTTCCACCGAAACTGGGTGACTGCGCCCTACTAGATGGGGATTTGTATGCAAAATGTCACTAAAAGCGCCATTTCGTTCTTATAAAAGCACGGATGACCGCGATTGGCCCATATGTTGTAGTCTTTTGGACGCTGAGTCGACTGGTTTTGGTCCGAAAAGGCTGCGATGCAGCGTTCCTCCTTTATTCCCAATCGAACATGGTTGAACAAGCGGTCACGTGCTCCTGGGTGCCCAAATCACCTGGTCACCGCGCCAGCAGGTGACAACTTTCACACCAAGGTTCAACTCGAGTTCAACTCGAGTGACAGGACTGCACCCAAAAAAGGTCAAACAGGCTAGTAAGTTGTACCCTGCAGGCACGGTGACCAGCTGACTAATGTACGCAGGAGCACGTGACCGCTTGTTCAACCATGTTCGATTGGGAATAAAGGAGGAACGCTGCATCGCAGCCTTTTCGGACCAAAACCAGTCGACTCAGCGTCCAAAAGACTACAACATATGGGCCAATCGCGGTCATCCGTGCTTTTATAAGAACGAAATGGCGCTTTTAGTGACATTTTGCATACAAATCCCCATCTAGTAGGGCGCAGTCACCCAGTTTCGGTGGAAGTGCGCGAGTTCGATTGGGATTCAAGTAGGAAGGGAGCGTCGCAGCTTCCTCGGACCAAGACCATTCGACTCAGCACCCAGAAGACTACAACTGGTGAAAATTTGATTTTAGGGTATACTTCCCCTTTAACAATGAACATCTACTACTATCAAGAGTATCATGTACTCTTGCTACTATAGAGGACTTTCCAATGAGTCATACCGTGCGGCCTATGAGGATTCGGGCCAAAGATCATCGAGTTCACCACCGATCACCGGACTTGAAACGGAGCTTGGGTGGCAAAAAAAGAAGACTGCACTGGAAAGAAACAATGTTTTTCGAAAGAAGTTCCATTTTGCATACTGTAGTTTGAGAATACCAAAGGGCTGCTCGCGATCGGATGTTCCCACACCTGGATCGTCTTTGAGTTGTTATCGTTTTCCCTACGATGGAGAACGACGGAACCAGTGGATGACGGACACACGACTCGAGAACTTCGCTCCTTATGCAAATACTTCGAAGTACACGAATATTGTTCCATCACTTCGTTGGCGAAGAGAAAAGTCATGATCATCCCTGTCACCCCAGTACGTATCGAATTAACTAACTAACTTGTTCAGCTCATTTGTGGCAGCACCAGTAAAGGCGGAAACACGAAGATGATTCCGAACACTATCAACTTACTTAGTTTGTTGGGGTGCAAGGTATAGCTGGAGTTTGATGAGTGATAGTGCTGATGCTGATGGTAATGACTAATGTACCCAGCTCTATTATGCACGTGCCTCTACATGACTGGTGGTGCTAGCTATAGTTTAGTACTGGCCCTGGGTGCAACTCCGGCATTATCTCTTCCATGCGAGTGTGTATTCTTCATGTTCAGCACAATGTGTATTTCCTTTGTCATGGATAAATACTCTGATCGACCTACTTGCGCAATCTTCTTCTGCTTCCCACTTGGTTGCTGCGCTGTGCAGTTCTTCATCTGCTGCGGCACATGCTAGTATACCTCATCTTCTGTCTTTCTGGACAGTTAAGTACATCACGGTATTCAGCTTCTTGATCTTCTTGTGGTGAGGATCATCTTGATCTTACTTCTTGTGTAACTCTTGCAAAGGCAGTAATGGAGGACACTCTACCGGTAATCAGCAACTGCTTATGGAGAATGCCAGGTCGAGGGACGACCAAGAAAAACAATTGCTGTATTGGATGTGCATTCATCAGCGTGTTTTTAAAATCAGGACAACTAAGTTCGCCACTCAGTACACCAGCTTTTTTGGCTACATAGGAGCAATGATGATGATGGCCGTGTTTGACTTTGTCAGCTTTCGTGCTACCAGCCACCACATGTCAACATTGTCATACTCGTACTGATAAGGAAGAAAAACCCACACACGCACGCACCCGTACACACGTACACACACACATGGATACACTGACAGGCATGCAAAGCAAGAGAGACAGAGAGAGAGTCGGGCAGCGAAAGAGAAGTGAGACTACTTGTAGGTTATGGGTACGGTGCTCCAATTTCTGCCCAGCTGAAGTAAAATCCATGTACACTATTTTCGTGTAGTGTTCATTGACCGTGCCAGCCACTGGTGAGTGACCCAGTGGTGTAGGTGTTGACATTCAGCACACATCACATTTCAGTCTCCAACGTAAATATTAATTCAGTCAAAACAACACTGCACTGCAGCAACATGGGAACATGCTTCTCCCAGGCCCACCATGCAAGTGCAGTGTGTGCCAAGAACAATTCCAGGTAATTCAGCAGCTACCCAAGGATGGACAGGTTCGGCAAAAACACTCCGCGAGTGCCTCACGTTTGCAAACGAATTTTGTTGACAGTTGTTGTTTCTTCCTTCGATTGGGCAAGACACGATAATGTGCCAACCCAGCCAGCAATGAGACACATGCATTTGTATCCATCAGGGCTATTGTAAGACTTTAGAGAGTCCTTTGCATATGTGCTGGGGACATTCACTAAATATTTAGAGAGGCCTGGATACCCAACGCAGGGGATTGGCTGAAAGGTCTTCGTCCATAGGTAAATATGGATCAATGTACTGGGCCCACGGATTCTGTCAATCTTCTCGCGGCAACGCCTCTTCAAGGCTGGAATAAACAGTAGAGTAACTACGGCTAGTAATCCTCGCGACTTACCGAAACTATTCACCACATCAAAGAAAAGCAAAAGTGCTTCACCACTGCGACGGCCTGCAACATCATTTTCAACCGTACACCGAACAACACATTTGATTCTCTTTTTGCCACCCAAGCACATTTTACCGTAGGACACGGACTTGTCTTATGGGTGATCTTTGGGTGGACACCGGGAAGGCGCCAAAAAGGTGATGTAATGGAAAGTCCTCTATACTACTAGTACTTCAGTTGAATTATATTCAGACTGGCGGTTAAACTTCCTGAAGGAATGTTCCAGACCCCAATATGTTAACTACTGCACTTTCTGGAGAAGTGACGTTTTCATTGTCAAGCTGTTACAACAATGAGAACACACACCATGCTATCAAAAGTGGACTCCTGATGCTATCATCGAGCATGATCACCAACATTTCAGTGTTATTGTTCTTGGTCAGTCTTTCAGAGGTAGTTGCAGAGCAAAAAAAACTGCAATAATGTCACATGAGGTTATTGCCGGAGGCACCCAAGAATATTCAAGGTCACGCTACAGCATAAAATGTTTTGGTCAAATGTGAAGATTTTATGTAGAAATATGAAAAGGTTCCGATATGATTGGGTAAAATAGAAAAGAGCCTAGGTAAGTTGGTACTAAATTTACAGTTCATCCTTGTCTTCGGAGGACGGTGGGGGTGGTGGTGAGCCAGCACCTGCACCACCAGCACCACCGGCACCACCATACTTGCTAATGATTGGCTGAACCTTGGACTCGAGCTCCTTCTTCTGGTTCTTCAGGTCTTCTGGCGAAGCGTCGGCGTTCTTCTCGACGAAGCTGATTGCCTCCTCGACGGCCTCAAGGAGAGTCTCCTTCTCCTCGTCGGTGACCTTGCCACCCAACTTCTCCTTGTCATTGAGCTGAGTCTTGAGTGAGTAGGCAGTGCCTTCAAGCTCGTTCTTAGCCTCAACCTTGTCCTTGGCCTTGGCATCCTCGTCAGCAAACTTCTCGGCGTCGTTGACCATGCGAGCAATATCCTCCTCGGAGAGACGGTTGTTGTCGTTGGTGATGGTGATCTTCTCCTTCTTGCCGGTGCCCTTGTCCTCAGCGGATACCTGGAGGATACCGTTGGCGTCGATCTCGAATGTGACCTCAATCTGGGGCTGGCCACGCGGTGCTGGGGGAATGCCGTTCAGGTCAAACTTGCCGAGCAGGTTGTTGTCCTTGGTCATGGATCGCTCACCCTCGAACACCTGGATGGTGACGGTGGGCTGGTTGTCAGCGGCGGTGGAGAAGATCTGGGACTTCTTGGTTGGCACAACAGAGTTACGCGGGATGAGCTTGGTCATGACACCGCCGACGGTCTCAATACCGAGAGTAAGAGGGTTGACGTCGAGAAGGACCATGTCACCAGTTGAGCTGGCACCGCTCAGCACACCAGCCTGGACAGCTGCACCGTAGGCGACGGCCTCGTCGGGGTTGATGCCACGGGATGGCTCCTTGCCGTTGAAGAACTCCTTGACGAGCTGCTGAACCTTGGGGATGCGAGTGGAGCCACCGACCAGGACAATCTCATGGATGTCAGTCTTGCCAAGGTCAGCATCGTCGAGGACCTGCTGGACAGGCTTCACGGTAGAGCGGAACAAGTCCTACAAGACACAACACAAAGCACAGGAACAAAACAGATTAGAATGGGGAAGCCATTATCATCATGAATAACACAAGGACGGGAAAGCAAAGAACAAACTGCGTAAAACGATACGGCAACACATTCGGGAAGGACTGAACGGAAAAACAACAAGCATCCAACCTAGACCTAGACAGCTTACCATGTTGAGCTCCTCAAAGCGGGCACGGGTCAGAGTCTCGGAGAAGTCCTCGCCATCGTAGAAAGCCTCAATCTCGATTCTGGTCTGATGGGCAGAGCTGAGGGCACGCTTCGCCTTCTCAACCTCACGGCGGAGCTTCTGAACGGCACGCTGGTCCTTGCGGATGTCCATTCCCTTCTTCTTCTTGAAGAGCTTGATGAAGTGCTCCATGACACGGTTGTCAAAGTCCTGACCACCTGTGGTAACACACACACAAACAGTTGGCAATAATCAGTAAAAATGCAAACAACAAAGCCGAGGCATAGAACATGCAGATGGATCAGCCGGTGTGACGTATAGAACAATTTATGGGCATGGATGGCACAGTCACGATCAACTGAAATGAACGAGGTCAATCAATCAATCAACAACGAATCACTGCATGCTTACCAAGATGGGTATCACCGCTGGTAGAGACGACCTCAAAGACACCATTGTCGATGACCAGAAGAGACACATCAAAGGTACCACCGCCCAAGTCGAAGACGAGGATGTTCTTCTCACCTCCCTTCTCGTTCAGTCCGTAAGCAATAGCGGCAGCAGTTCTGAACACAAAAGAAACAGAACAACAAACATCAAGGTCAGATAACACAAAACATAAACAGATCCAGACAGATACATGCATAAGCTGTATGGGTTGCATCTTGAGAAAACAAACCCAGCAAATTGCACAGAAGATATCTCTTAATTTGCTAAATCCTATATACCGTATATTCTCTAATATAAGCACAGGTCTCCATTACTAGCACAGTCTCTAATACTAGCACACTGTGAGCACCTTTCGAAACATTATAAGCACAGTCTCTATTATTAGCACGGTCTTGGTGGAAATCAATGCTGCATACATGATATCTAGCATGTATTTCTTCTTGCTGTGTGGATGTATTGGTTGAAAAAATATAAGCACGGTCTCCAATATAAGCGCGGTCTCCAATATAAGCACAGGGTAGAGGGGTGTTGAAAAAATATAAGCACGGCGCTTATAATAGAAAATATACGGTATAGGATTTTGGTCATATTTTTCAACTCAAAATGGGTGTGGCACGAGCATAGGGAAAAGTATGTGACCAATTCTTCCTTGCTAGGTCTTAGTAGATATCAAGAGTTGAATAAGATATTTTTTTCAAACACTAACATCTCAGGCTCCTCTCCTTGCCCAATATTACTAAGGCCTGTGCCCTATTTTTCGAATCCTATATATAGGATTTGAGATTTTATTGGACCTTGTTTTATCCTTAAAACTGGTAGTTTCATGACGGCATGTGCGATATGTCGTCATGAAACCACCCCGTGCCACACCTGCAATGTTCTTCTGCACATTCACTGCTTCAGTCCTTTCCATGACAGCAGCTGAACAATTCTGCTCAAATTTCCAAATATTGCTGAAAATGGGTATTCATCAGAAATATTATCGCCCTATGAATCTAAAATGTAAACATTCATGCCTCAAACATATTTACAACTTCCATGAAAACCAATATGCCGTTATTATTGGTCGTGATGACCAATAACAACGGCATAAAAGGCACACATTTTCAAATCCTGTTTATAGGATTTTGGGCCAGCAAATTAAGAGATAAAATGAGAAATGGTTTTTAAGTCCATCGTTCAGCATTAAATGCCCAACTTACGGCTCGTTGATGATTCTGAGAACGTTGAGGCCAGAGATGATACCGGCATCCTTGGTGGCCTGACGCTGGGCGTCGTTGAAGTAAGCGGGGACGGTAACAACGGCGTGGGTGACCTTGGTACCCAGGAAAGCCTCGGCGGTCTCCTGCACAGTGCAACCAAGAGCGGAGACACAAAGACAGTGCAGAAAAATACTTAGGCAACATGGAAACTGGAAAGTGAACTATTATGAACACAAAGTGAACACTGGGTGGAAAACAGTGAAATAGACCGCAGAGTGACATCATGGTTCATCGCACGCACAAACACACGCACAGAGTAGGATATAAATACGCACGGCGCGCAACAGAAAGATCGGTTATAGATACACACAGAGTCGCGATATAAATACCGGGTACGCAGTAAGTGTAAAAACGAATCCACCGGATTCTTACCTTCATCTTGGTGAGGACCATAGCGCTGATTTCCTCAGGGGCGAAAAGAGTCTGCTTGCCCTTGACCTCGGCGGAGATGTGGGGCTTGGAGTTCTTCTCGGAGACCTTGAACGGCCAGTACTTGAGGTCCTTCTTGACACTGTCGTCATCCCACGAGCGACCAATAAGGCGCTTGGCGTCGAAGACGGTGTTTTCGGGGTTGGAAGTCAGCTGGTTCTTGGCGGCGTCTCCGATCAGACGATCACCATCAGCAGTGAAAGCTACGTAGCTGGGAGTAATACGGTTACCCTGGTCGTTGGCAATAATCTCAACGCGTCCATTCTTGAACACACCGACACTGTGAAGAAAGTACGCACAACCCCCCAAATATTTGTTAGACCACAAAGAGAGAACCCGTTCTTGTTTGGAGTTGGGGTAAAATCAGTCTTCAAACAAGGGCTGGCTGGACCCGTCTCAACAACTAGCTTGAACCACAGAACTACTACTACTACTACTACTAAAACCAGTATGACAAGCAGTATAACAAGCAGGGGAATTTTGCTCCAAGTACAAGACACGCAATTCCCGCATAGAGGTACATGATACACACGTGCTTACCAGGAATACGTTGTTCCAAGATCAATACCGATCACGGTACCATACTCCTTCTTCTTAGCATCCTGGTCTTTCTCATCAGCCGCAATGGCTACTGCCACAAGGCAGGCAATCCACAGAAACCGCATAGCTACACTCAATTGAAAACTGGCAGTCTCAAGACAACACCTACTCGAAACAATTTCCCCTGCGCTGAGAAGGAACAACCTCTCCAAAGTGGCCTTCCTCAACCTACACGATGCCCTTTGAACCTACCTCAACACAGACGTCGAAAGCTGATTGGCTGCAGCTGTCTCATGGGACATGGCGAACGCTGATTGGTCCAGCACTACCTTCTTGACGTCACCGAGACTAAAACACGTAGGGTTGGGTAAAGTTTTCTGCGGTTTCCGTCCAAGTATTTGTCATGACGTCGGATTCATGGAAACTTCGAAGAGGTTTCGGATTTCATCTAGAAATTTCTCTCACTGCCACGTCATATCGAAACGTCACCAGATCTAGAACACGTGTCTCAAGATTCAAGAATCACCTCAAAAATCAAAATCCTCAATCCGTTCTGCGGCGTTGAGCTCCCCACTACACTGTATCCAGTATCAGGCTGTCCCAGACTTCCCAGTCCGCCCAGCTGGCCTTGCCTTGCCGCCCTTTCACTGTCTTTGTTTCAGACGGACTCAGAGTAGACCTACGACGTGTTATGTACACCTGACACCTGACCTGTCCTGAGTCGAGTGTTCTTGCAGACTTCTCACCAGTACATGTACCGGTACAAGCAGAGAACCGGGCATGGCCCAGCCTTCAGTACAATGTAGTCCGGAGAAACACTAACTTTGGCTCTGACCTAGTGTTTTTGAATTACAGTGGAGATTGGATATAACGACACTCTTTCGGGAGAAAGCAAAATGTCGCTATACACACTGTATTCGATCTGTCACTAAACCCGATCTTCACATTTAGTATGCAATATGTATATCAAAATGACAGAAATGTATTGTAGATATACATGTACATGATTGATTGTACATGTGGATAACACATAAAAATTCCAAGATGTCGCGAGTAGTTCGGAATTTACTTACTGTAGTAGTCGTGTTACCTCCCCTCCTCACCACGCGGCTGGTCGTGAGGAGGGGAACACTCCAGAGCTTTTAGAGGATCCTGACATAGTGCCACCGACACACTGAGTGAGGAAAGTCGGAGAAAAATCCAAGGTGCAGGATCGGTCCGACAGCCCCACCGAAATTCGGATTATTCCGGCCACTCCGGCCCCCAAGCGCCAGACAACTGGCAACCGCTACCATCGCCTTCGGCCCCGTCTCTACCAACTGGAGAACTCAATGTGGACATCACGGGTGAGCCTAATAAATGGCCTGAGGTCGGACCTGCGTGCCGACCTCATCAGCTCAGACGGACTGGCGCCAGTCCATGAGCGATGCAAAACATGACAAATTTGTTACGAAAACAGGGCCATGACATAGACATACTCATGAAGAGAGTGGACAGCCTGGAACGGGAGAACACTGGCCTACGCAGAGAGGTCAGTGAGTGGCGCCAAGACGGTGGTAAACCAGCCATTCTCGACAGGATGTCCCGATTGGAGGTACACATGCGGAACCCACAGCCTCACAACCAAACCGAACCGGTCCTGAACCGAGATAGCGTGAATGGCACTACTCTAGATCTGGTCGAGGAACTACTGAACCAGAAGGGAAGGGAAAACAACGGTACTATTGCACGGTGTGTCGGAATGTCAGGGAGAGGACCTCCCCTCCCTCACACGAGCCCTTGTCCCGTCAAACACTCTGATCCAAGAGGTGCTACGTATTGGAAAGCCAAGAGAGGACACAAACGTACGCCCCAGACCAGTCCTCATTAAAACAAACAAATCTGGAAAAGCCTCTCTCCTGAGGAATAAAATGACGCTCCGCCACAATGGTCAACCGGTTTACGTTAGCCACGATCTAACTCCCTCTCAACAGGCACGAAGGAGACAGGTACTCCCCACATTTAAACAATTGCGAGGGCTTGGCACTCACAGTGCTTGTTCCCTTCCCTACGACAAAATATTGGTACAAGGGAAACCACTGGATGACGCTGAATTGGCGAGGTTACTTCAGGACAAGCCTGCACAATGACGAGTCCCCGCACAACAGAATACTATTGTCACCAACGCATGGAGCACTCCCCAGAGCGTCTCTACCTCTACGCCACAGATAAGTATCACTCATTCTAATGCATGCAATACATTATTACTCTTTAATCTTACTATAGCACATATTAATATCTGCAGCCTATTGAATAAGCTTAGGGACATTCACTATCTTCTGCACAAACACAACGTTGATATCCTTGCTGTTACGGAGACATGGCTGACAGCCACCTCGACAAACAGTGCCATCTTTCTACCGGGCTACGACGTCCACAGATTCAAGTTGACAGGACAAGCAAAAAAGGAGGCGGCGTTTGCTTGTACATCAGAAATAAGTTTAAGTACCGTCAACTAAGAACAATATTTGACATTGAAACTGCAGCAATCACCTGCGATTGGATGGAAATCCGCTGAATATCATCTGTACATATCGACCACCCTCAACACCAGTGTCGTTTTGGCAACAACTCACCAACACTGTTGATGACATCGCAGCACAGACACCAAAATCGTCCCACACCATTGTTCTTGGTGACTTCACTCATGTGAACATACGAGACACTCAGCATCCTCACCACAAGCACCTGCAGACATTCTGCCACACAACCAGTCTCCATAACAATACTCAATAGTGACATCGCCGACTAGACTTCCTACTGAATCCATCTTAGACCTAGTACTAGTACCCAAGACATTCGACAACACCCACCTATCTCAGGCCACACAAGGTAGACACTTCACCGTGAACAGCTGCACAGTCGAGCCATGTGCTGCATCGGACCACCAGCTTGTCCTAGTTGACATGACAGTAACCCTCCGTTCCCTCCCAAAGGAGCAGTGGGTCCAAACAAGAAAGCCGCCCATTAGATCGATTGATATGATATGAGTAGCTTCAGAGACCAACTGGCATCCGCATTGCTCGACACATCCACTGACACCACAACTACTACATGCCAACGAATTCAACTATTCCAACACAACGTATCTGAGGTCCTGGACAAGCACTGTCCAATGACAACCGTCAAACTATGTGGCAAATACAAACCTGCCCCTTGGGTAGATGACGAGCTCCGGAAATTGTTGTTCAGGAGGAAGCGTTCGCACAGGAAAATGAGAAAGAACCCAGCTGACCCGCAACTAGTCCAGAACTTCCGGACACTGCGGCGGCAATGCAAACTTCTCACGCGTCGCAAGCAAGCCACATTCTTTCAGAACGAATTTATTTACAATAGGAAGAACCCCAGAGGCCAATGGAATGTTCTAAACACTCTGCTTGGTCGAATCAAGATCCACCGTGAACCAGGTGCAGAGGTCAAAGCCATCACAGCTACATAGTCATTCTCCGAAACAGTATCACCGGGTTCGCCAAATACACCAACCGCTACAACGCACACTACACTGCCACTAGGTCCGATGCCTGAACACAACTTTTGCACTTTCGACCGCATCCCGACAAGCCTCGTAGAAAATAGGCTAAAGCGGTAGGACTGCCGTAAAGCGTGCGGCCCCGACAACGACGTTACGTACCCGCAGCAATCTACAAGTCTGCATGCAGCTGACGGGATTGCCCCTGTTCTCGCTCCGCTATTTTCAGACTCACTGGAACTTTCCCAACTCCGTACAAACAGGCTAACGTTCGGCCAATACACATTAGCGAGGTGATCACAGCGATCCTACTATTACTAATTACAGACCAATAATGGCAATATCGCTCCTTCCGCAAATGTCAAAGCTGTTAGAACGCTGCGCTCTCGACCAGCTAATGGAATTCGTGCGCGACGCTCCACAAGCAAACCAAGCACTTCCGCTTGAACAGTTCGCATACAGAAGACAGCACTCCTGCGATGACTTGCTAGCCTTGGTCAGTTGGTGGCGAATGACTGGCAGCAAAGTCTAGATGGCAGTAGATGCCGGTAAATTTGTGGTGGCAGCGTTTCTTGATATGTCGAAAGCATTTGACACGGTCAATCACGACATGCTACTGCAGGAGCTTTTCGAGATCGGCGTCGGAGATAGCGCCCTGCAATGGTTTGCGAGCTACCTACGATCGTAGATCTACGAGGCAGGCGACAGCGAGTGGTAACACGCACGTCCAGAGGTGAACTGTACGAAGCTCACAGGGGAGATCCTCACCCTCGGACCTGTGCTCAGTATCTGTACGCAAATTGCCCTCGGCAGCATCTTCCAGCATCGTGCGCCAGTACGCTGACGATGTCGCCCTGTACCTAGCAGGCCGCAACATACAACAAACTACCGAAGAACTGGCCCGAGATGTGTGCCGTATCTGGGACTTCCTGAGTGAACGAGGACTAATCCTGAATGCCAGCAAGACCCAGTTCATTGTGTTCCACTCCAGATCGAAAAAAGTATGCTCCTCCCTCCGACTAACCATTGAGATTGTCTTAATTGCACCAGCGACCACCGTCAAGTACCTTGGTATGACCTTTGACCAGCACCTGACATTCGCTGACCACATCAGTGCCCTTGAGCGAAAAGGTAGGCGACAAGCTAGCTGTGTTTCGTAGAATCCGGGACCGTCTAACAATTGATGCAAAGAGAACCTTCTACTGCTCGTTCATACAGGCTCAACTAGAGTAGCTACGGTTCCAATGCTTAGTTTTTATCATAGTCTGCAGGCTGGGCAACAAGATCGCTTGACTCGCCTCAGCAACCGTGCAGTTCGAACTGTTTTGGGTTACCCAAGGTTCTGTGACATTTCTACTATTCTAGCCAGATACCACCTAGCTTCTATCTCCTTACGTTTGAGATTCAAATTGTTTGTACACTTATTTACAGATCATTACATAAGGTGTGCAGACTGTTTTGTGACTAGAGTCAATGCCACACACACAGCGTCAATCACCGGTCCGCTCCACGCTATCAGACTTCTGCTCATCCATACAAAAACATATAGGGTACCCCGTAAGAAGGCCTTAGGCCTGTGGGAATGCCCTATTAAAAATTTAATAAATAATATTATAGTCTCTTTCCCTCAAACCAGTCAATAATATTATAATAATAATAATAATTGATTGTACAGTCATGTGTCTTGCATGCATTGTTCAAGGTAAAGTCATCCCGCACCGCTGCACTGCGGCTACAACGTGCAATGTAAAGCACACATGATATGAGTGACCCGGAGGTCCGGGCACGTGGCACAGCCATAATACCATGTTCCAGACATGCCAGTCTGCCTGATAAAAGAGGAAAGTCGTTATATCCGATGTATTTTCACTGTTTTTCAGGTCTTCGGGCACCAAAAAAGTGTCAGTAAATCCGATCTGTCGTTATTTTCGAGGTCGTTATATATTTCATTGTCGTTATACCCGATCTATAATGTACAGAAAGGACTTGCTAAACGACTTGGGCAACAGAATTGTGTCGCTAAACTTGATTTGTCGTTATACCCAAGGTCGTTATATCCAATCTCCACTGTATTTGAGTGTCCAGGGTTCTAGCCATGTCAAAATAGTAGGGGGGGGGGGGGGGGCAGGGGAAAGAGTTACCCCTCAACCCATTTTTCCCTTTTCCAAAATTGTCTTGCCATACAAAATGCAACGTACGGGGGCGAACCGGATCCCCGACTTCACCCCAGACAACTGTGCCTTTATGAACCCTCGGCCTCTGTTACTATCTGACTATCGACTGCATTTGTGTTGAAATTAATTGCCTACAAAAACACAAAAAAACGACAAATGAGTAGGGTAGGGGGTGCTGTGCCTCAGCTCTACCCTTCTTTGGCTAGAACCCTGGTGTTAAATTAATGCTGCATTCCTGGCTGTAAGCAGGGAGTAGTAAAATATTCCTGGCTGTATAAACAACCGACGGCGGAATATAGGAAATGGAGCTCCCCTTTCTATCCAGGAATCTGGCGAACTGCAGTAGCAATCTCGATGTTATTGATCACCGGACGTCTATTCTTGCTGTTAAGTACATGCATTGCCATGTCACAACATTCTCGCAAGTAACACACCAGTACACACCACTGACACATGTGTGCACATTTTCACACGCTCAACGACATCAGACATGCAAGTGATCCATGGTGGCCGTTGTTGTCAAAGATTTATTTGAAATCACATGCGACGCAGAAAGGCAGAGAAGACCAACAGTGCTGCTACGAAAACAGGCACCCAACGGACCTGGATTCACACAGACAAGCTAATCACAGCTAAAATCTACATTGTGTTCAGGTACACACATGTCTCTGAGAGGAATCTGACATAAAGAACGGAGAATGGCATGATCCCAGGGACAATATAATCACATTGGACTTTGGAGTCAATTCAAAGAAGAAAAAAGCGTACGGATGTGATGAGTCAAATAGTTTTTTTTGTGTATTGTGCAAGCATATGGAGATTATTTGTGGGATGCTCCATTATATTGGTTTGGCAGATGAGGAAAGATTCTAAGCCAGCACTTCAAATCCCCGTGATGATCAGCTAGAGCTGTGTCTTCTGCCAGTCGTGGTCATCGCCAATTCATCACCAATTCCTTGGGAGACGTGTGCTCCACTAGTTTTATGCGTGTGTGCATGTGGCAGGAGTGCTGAACTTTCCCTAGGCCGGTCATGAGAATCTCACCTTTATCAATATCGAAACAATGCTCCTCTAAATTGTGTTATTTGCAGTGCTGCAGAGGCAACTATCAAAATATTTACAATCAATTTCATAAGTCAACACAGAGTGGGGAGTGTAGCATGGTGACTTGCTAGTTTAAAGGACACAGTAGCTCTACTGTACATGCATGATAATCCTGGCCTGCAGGGAGGCAGCACGCCATATCAACTAGACTGGCGTGGCTGCATTGAGGCTGTCCACTGAGCAGATGCTTCCGGCAAGTGAGGCGAAGCGGACGGGAGGCTAGCCAGCGGCTCCATGGTATGCATGTCTTCTGGCCCCATGTTGGCAATGGGCAATGGCGCCATGCCGAACATTGCCACCGCCTGCAAGACAAACACAACAAATCTACATTAAAACAAGCCCGGACAATTTACAGCTATGTACACCATAGAAAGTAATGTGCATGCGCTCGCTCGCACACACACACACACAAACATGTACATACCCAAACACACACGTGTGTGCGTACACACACACACACACACAAACATGTACATACCCAAACACACACGTGTGTGCGTACACACACACACATGTGTGCGCGTACACACACACACACATTCCATTGGTGTGCTAATTAGGTACAGTAATTTCAATTCACATAACATGAAGTACTGTATAGCAGGAAATTTTCGGACGGAATATATTTTCGTACTATTTCGTACACGGCCTCTTTTGTACTAAATTTAATTCCATACCAAGATTTGTTCAGAAGAGGTTCGCTCATGCGAAATTATGTACACTATACATGCGTACTGCATGCAAACACGCGTATATAGCATGCAGCACTGTACGAATATAAAATCCATACGAAAGGTCGATGTTCGGCTTTGTCCGAAAATTTCCTGCTATACAGTAACTTACTCACTACAGTCCATTTCAAAACTATAGACGCGTACCTGGGCAAAAAACCGTTATGCCAGCATCTATACCACATAAAATCTGTGATCACTTTGTGCATACAATTTTCCAAATTGGCCGTCTGTTATCCAATCGTTTAGAAACTATAATTACGAGAGTAATTGTGGAGCGGACCTGAGCAATGTTCCGAAAACTATTCTCAAAAAGCTCCAGCCAAATTTGAAATATTTCAAAAACCCTACGCGTCTATAGTTATGAAGTGGACTGTAGTAGAGCATGTGCATGTCAACTCCAGCAGCAGCACAGCTTACTTGCTCATGCTGCAGGTTGTTCACAGACCGTGCTGGACCAAGCAAGTTGCTAGGCTGTGGCACTGAAGGCTGGGCACTAGACCATCGTGCTACCAGACTCTCCAACTCCTCAGTCTTGTAGGAGCCTGCACTGGCGGCTGCAAGGCAACAGCATCGTAAGCAGCATACGTGCCACACGAATATTTGGACTCAGTAAAGTACTAAGGTCTGCCCGCTGCGTGTGGGAGACGATACACAGTCAACGCAAACGCAGCTTTAATTTACCAAGTATTAGTGCTAGATTGGTATTAAAAGGCAGGCTGCGCCCTAGTGACCAGCATCATAACCAGGCTGATCCCGCTACTCAAAATCACAGGACACTCAATACAATGTGCTAGCAATTATCACTTGCAATTCTTCAATACACTGCAATGGGAAAAGCATGGCATCTGTGCACCAACTCACCGCCTTCGATATGGAGTGTATCGGATGTAGAAACCCCCATGGAGTTGAGCGCTTGTAACACCGGTCGGACGTACGAAGAGTGTTGCTGCAGACAAAACATCCACATGCACACAAAAGCAAGGCAAGTGGATATACCAAGTTTAAAAAATGCCAGGTTTCAATGTAGACATTGAGCTCCTTCACGGGCTCACGCCCACACTATACGTTGAGCAGGATATGAGACATCTCACAAGTACAATACACTATACGTTGAGCAGGATATGGGACATCTCACAAGTACAATACACTATACGTTGAGCAGGATATGGGACATCTCACAAGTACAATACACTATACGTTGAGCAGGATATGGGACATCTCACAAGTACAATACACTATACGTTGAGCAGGATATGGGACATCTCACAAGTACAATACACTATACGTTGAGCAGGATATGGGACATCTCACAGGTACAATGCTATACAGTGAAGCCTGTCCAGGGCGACCGCTCAAGGTGCCTTCGAAACGTGGTCGCTGTGTACAGGTGGTCTTCTTATCCAGGGTCAGTTGACTGGAGGTAGCATCCCTTGGTCCTGGTTGTAGTGGTCTCCCGGGACAGGTGGTCGCCCTATCCGAGTGGACACCTTCACAGGTTTTACTGTACGTGCAGTGATCCTATACAGATATACACAGGGCACCAGCACAGTGTAACATACGTACATGTACTGCACCAGAAATCTGCCTGCCTCTACCGTCCCCTCTCACCTTGAGCATTAGCGCAAGGCCAGCCACAATGCTTGGCCAGACGACCTCAAGTGTTGCCAAAGGCGACATCTGCAGTGCCTGCTGCTGCTGTTGTTGCTGCTGGAGTGACGCGGGCTGGCCACCTTCGCGGTGGGACGAGTCGCCACTCACACCCTGATCCACTTGCATACTGCCAAGCGATCCCGTCAAGGATGTACCGCTGCTCCCGCCACCACCACCACCACCACCACCACCACTGCTCGTGTCCAAATCTGTATCGCTAGGCACACAACCGCTGTCCTGACTGGCTGATGATGACCGCTTTGTCAGCCTCCGATGTGACTACATTGACGACAACACAAACATACACTACTGTAAGATGAGTATGCCAGTAGAGATATGAACCACATCTTCCCACAAATATCCAGAAATTGCACAGTGCATTTTCAGTATAACGTACCGTATGGAGGCATATGTATCGGTCCTTTATCATAGCTGAGGTACTGAATATCAGACGCCACATGACTGCGAAAAATATATGCAGGGTCCTAAAAAGTACTTTGTACTACAGTCGTTCCTCTTTCCCGGCACTTTATAAACCAGTACCCTCTGTAAAGCAGCTTAACTTTCGGTAACCAAAATGTCCTTTTCATGTACATTGCAGCAGAAAATCAGATTTTGTAATCCAGCACCCTCCCTAATCCAGCAGAATTTCCGTAGCACAAATGGTGCCGGATTATAAAGGGACCACTGTAGTATCCGATGAAAAGAGAAAGTATGTTCTTACTGGGCTACTTTGCACAGAGTTTCATTGTATGCACATTTCTCGGTGTTATTTCCATCACACTTGTTTGTTGGTTTCGCATGACTTACATTGCTGGAGTTCGCAGCGAAGATCTTACTAATCTCGTTCCACGCTAGGCTGGCTTTGCCATGAAGAGAATGAGGTAGATGATCCAGGTTATATCTATTCATGACCAGGTAGGACAGACAAGGAAATCCAACAGGAAAAGAGTGCACAAAGGGAGAAGGATAGATCAGGCAAAGATGCATTGATAATCGTAAGAAGCGCTACAGTGGTTGGATTTAGTGGGAACACCTTGAAGCGATGGAGCCTTGATACATGTCCATATATGTACATGAAGTTAGTTAGTTCTTGCTATTGTAAATACAAAGTTCATAACATGATATAGCTGGTGCCTACAAACGAATGTCATCTCCAAGACAAACCTGTGAAACGCCAATAACAGACTCTTCTCAGCCATGTTGTGCTTTGTGCAGCGAACACTACACCGTGGCAACGAAGATGAAGCTTCGTACCAGCACAATAGACATGCACTTGCGCATTTTAAGGACCTAGGCGCGCCATGCGAGATCAAGACTAGCGAGGACAAGAGAATAATTCTGTTGTGCACCGTGTGTTGAAAGCTGTGGAGACCGCCTGTAATTAGACAGCGGCCATTGAGTCCCAACCATGTCTCTGCATACAGTTAACCTGTGTGAAGAGGCCACCTGATAGCAAAGACTGGCTGTCGGTGCATCATGGAATGATATGCTATGGGGATGATACCGTTGATACGTTACTGCATGATGTGCTTTGGGTTGACACACTGTGTGATGCTGGTACACTATTTGATGATCAGCTATTACAGTATTGGAGGACGCACTGCGTGATGGTATACTATGCCAAGATGGTGGATGATGCGCTATTGGATGCCACACTACATGAATGGGATGATGATACACTATTGTGATGGTGTACCGTGCCATGATGGTCCGCAACTGGATGACATACAAACTGTCTATAGTATAGGATAATACACGATGTGATAGTGTGCTATTGGATGACATACAATACTGTCTATAGGATCATGATACATTACACTACGTGATAGTGTGCTATTGGATGACACACAATGTGGTGCTGTACTATGGCATGATTGCTCAGCACAGGTTCACCTGTACACATAGCCATGTACCGGTACATATGTACGTGTACATGTAGTTCCACTCACCCGCCAGCACTGTTATGCAGCTCACCGCGGAGAAGTTGCTGTTCCTCCATGGAGAGAATAGGAGCCAGTTGGGCCAGCATCTAGAACAATGCGTCGAAGAGCGGACAAGAGAACACTAGTGAGCGCGATGCAGCTACACATGTCTGAAATGATTTCACACGGTACAGGTCTACCCTTGCGAGTAGACAATCCCAGGGGTTTCAAAATGAGATTTGTCTTGTAACCAATGTCGTACTAACAAAGATAGACCTGTACGAACCACACAACAATGTGCTCATATATGCCATCGCAGCAAGTAGAGGGCAGTGCAATACATATGCTGGCACTGCAAACTACTTTATTACAGCTCTATCCCCCCCCCCCCCCCCCACACACACACACTGTTATCATTATGCAGCGATCACTTGTGACACTGGTCAAAACACTGGGCCTGGAGACAATAACAAAGAGCCCAGTGAACCACACACCCGCACTGGAGTTGGCGACAGGCAAGCATCGCACCAGAGGGGGCAACTTATGCATGATGCGCCACAAACTGCACACATTCAAATCATACTCACACTCTGCCTTTCCGGGGAGTTTGCACCAAACCTCTGAAATACCTGCAACTCAAAATAATAATAAAGATCAACCAAACAACCAAACAAAGAAACAGCAAGATTGACGAGAACACATACTGTAAGACATGTTATTATAACGAGTCGCAAATTTAACGATTGTCCAAAATTCATAGGTTAACGAGAAGATATGTTAACGATCTTACAGTATTCTGCCATATCCACACACAGCATATATGAAGCAGTACGGCCTCAACGGATTTTATTATAACGAAGAAATGTCATCCGTTAAAACGTTAGATTTGCTTCCTCGTTATATATACATGTCTTACAGTAGGACAATATGCAAAGTACTCAGTGGACAAGCAACATAAGTGCAGAGTGCACGCATAGACAGCCATGTACATGTACATGAACATGTGCACTGTGACGGTATGCAACCCGTAGAAACGCTGACATATTTCAAAGCTTGTTGCACTTCTCCCTATCGAGATGAATACGATTTTTTACTCAATCGGCCGCAGACAATGTTGTTTTATTCTTTGCGGACTTATCAGTACATCACAGAAAAATGAGGCCCGGTAGCAATGAAAGCTTGATTTCTCAAACTCAGAATTTTGTTAACTTGCCCAAAGTCTCAGAGTCTAAGTCTACCATGCCAGCGTAATCAAAACGATAAGTCAGTGAACTAGGCATAGCGCAACGGCGAAGTCACGTCACACACAAGACTGCCCTATCATTTAAAAAGAAAAAATATCCAATCAAGGAGACCAAGGATTCGGGAGAGCTGGCGTCATAGCAGTGAGCTGAAATGGAATGGTCCAGTTATGAAGAGGAAGGGTAACTCACCGACACGAAACAGTCCGGAGCCAAGGATGTGTTCGACACATAGCTGCCGAAATGCCCATTGCTTGCGGGAGGGTTCTGAAAGACCATTACCATCACCATCACCATCACACACACACACACAGAACAGAGTTTCAAGACACCATTCCACGTGCATGTACATGTAATGCCATTGGACCACAACAGATGTGGTATGGCACAGTGTTATGCACCGAACAGCACATAGTCATTAATTAATGAATCAATATTCTTTCACCATCTCCACCTGCCTATGCATGGTCAAGAAGACAGATCCAAGATTACACGGACGCAAACACGTGTCCTTGCTCACTGCTAGAACCAGGTCACATTGTCTCCTCGGGAGAGAGAAACAAGACTCGGAAGGACCTTAGGAAGGATAACTGGGGTAGGGAGACTTTGAAATGACATGACTCCCCCCCCCCCCCTCCTCTCCCCTTATGGGCTCCTCCTCCTCACCACCACCACCACCACCACCACCACCACCACCACCACCACCACCACCACCACCACCACCACCACCACCACCACCACCACCACCACCACCACCACCACCACCACCACCACCACCACCACCACCGTCACCACCACCATCACTACCACCACCACCACCGTCACCACCACCATCACTTCCATGCACACATAGACACACAAGTACTTGCAGTCCAAACCAGCTGCCGCTCAACTCACGTGAGACAACGGCGTGGGCGGTGTGCTGCCCAGCTGGCCATGTCTCCGTGAACACTCATCAGCCGGCGACGGTAATGGTGGGGGGATGTGAGAAAGCATTGCACCCGAACTGCACCCGGGAGCAGCCACTCCGCTTCCGTGCATACCATTTCCCTGAGCAATTTCAGACGCTCTGTTGAGCACATCACGGGGTGAGGCTTGAGGGAATGACCTGGAGAGCTCGCTGGGCTAAACACGCGGAAGGAAGAAGAAAAAAGAAGGCCACAACAAAGGTTTAAAAGAGATTTTGCAAGCCACTTTGATGAAGGTGCACACTCTTTTGCAAAACTCAGGTATCCACACACGGACACATACACATACGGACACATACAAGCACACACATTGGATATCGTCAACAGTTTCAAAGCAGAGTCCCACAGATGTCTAACCACACATGCAAGAGAAAAAAATTACTAACTCACAGTCGGACCAGTGTGCATTCGGTGCAAAGAAGGCAAGTACATGTATCCCTGCACAGCACTGCACTTGCAATACAGATTCCATGTACATGTAGTACTTACTTTAGAAAAGGGGTTGGCTGGTTGTCCACACAATGTATTCGACGGTGATGGCAAAGCAGTGCTGCCGTTCACAGGATGTGCACAGCTGGCTGGAGTCCTGTCCAGTTTGGACAAAAGAAAGAAATGGTCAACAAAATTGTTTAGCCATTGCGCAACGAGCAGTACGGCAAACGGCAGTGAACACCTGGCTGTAAACCCTTAAAAAATCCACAACTCGGCAAAGAGTCAGTCAGACTGTCTTTATCGCATACGGGGAACACAGTCAACCTTGAGAATAACGAGTGTAGCAACAATTCGCGGATAACAGCACAGTCGCCAGACCTAGTGACGATTTGGTGCATAATTTCAATCTCACGGATAACGGTAACTCGCGAATAAAAACATTTTTTTCTGATACTGTAAAATCCATATATTATAACGAAGTGCTAACTCTAACGAATTAACGAGGAGAAATCTGTCGTTAAAATAGAAATCGTTATACAGAAATCGATACATATACTGTCCTATTGAGCGTTGAGAATGAGTGAGAATCGTTACCTTTGGTACACGTAAACTAGTCAATTTTGGTAAATCGTTATAATTATATGCGCCTCGTTAGAATAATGGCTTTTACAGTAGGTGATCGAGGGTCGTTCTTCGCAAGGTTGACGGTAAGGATCAAGGCACTGCCAGATGTCGCTCCAGAAAAGTGCATTCACCGGTGACATAACGTGTAACATGGCATGACCAATTTACTAGCAGGTGAGGAGTGGCAAGTCAAACGTGTAACAAGTGGCAGGTTAGGAGATGATGAGACTAATAACAGTTACCAAGATTGTCCACCATACAATGTACATGTGATAAACTGAGTACATGAAGTAAGATGACAGCAGGGATTACTCACTGTCGCGCTTACTACTAGCAATCGATGACTAAACTGTTTCCACAATCTTAATCACACAGTGAAACTCGTCTAAGCCGACCACTCCAGGGACCTTCCAAATGTGGCCTCGGCTCCGTGCACAGGTAGTTACCGTATCCAGGATCATTTGACTGGAAATGACATGCCTTGGTGTTGGTTGTAGCGGTCCACTAGGACAAGCAGTCGCCTTATCAGAGTGGTCGCCTTGACAGGTTTTACTGCACATCAGATTTTCTGGCCCAAATTACAGCATAATCTACACATTATGATCATGTACTTCGAAGCAGTATGTAATAAAGTAAAACCTGTCAAGGCGACCACTCGGATAAGGCGACCACCTGCCCAAGAAGACCATTACAACCAGGGAGTATTGTACTAATCCCTGATTACAACCAAGCCCAAGGGATGCTATTCCCAATCAAATGACCCTGGGTAAGGAGACCACCTGGTTACAGAGACCACGTTTTCAAGGTCCCTTGAGCGGTCGTCTTAGACAGATTTCACTGTATGTGCACTCCTTCGTACTACACCGTAGTAGTAGCACTTACGGATTCCAGAGGAAATGACTTTGCTCTTGTCCAACATGCCGCGGCGGGAAGCTTTCCGGCTCGAGCCTCTGCCCGAAACCACGCTGCTGCAGCTGCAGCTGCTGGATCTCCCACTGGGCATGCTGGCTGAGAGCTGGGCTGAGGTCCGCAGGTTCCGGCCAACTGGCGTGCTGCATGCCCCTGGGGTTGACCGGCGATGTCAAGTGACCGCCACGGCCGTCTTGCTGGGCATTGATGTTGCGCACCGGATGGCGATTGCGGCGGTTGCGAAACCAGTTGTTGACTTCGTCGACAGTCAGGCTAGTCTCTGCGGCGACCTTAGCGATCACATTTCTGCAGAAAAAGGCAGAACACGAACTAAGATGTAGCGACCTGGCAGAAATAATCTAGTTGGCCGCTCCCAAGGAAAGGACACATTGGAACTCTGATACAACATACCCCCCCCCCCCCCCATGGGGAACAGGAAAGTGTACATGTACTTAGTATCCAAGGTATTGTTTATCCGAATATACTTTAGTATAGAGGAATACACCAGTGACCTGGACAATGTTCGTACTAAGCAAGTGAATTTCACAGCACGTACCCTTACTTCTTTACACACATGAAAGCACACACAGCTCCACGCATACATGGCAAGTCAGAACAGCGAGAGAGAAATTCCAAACAGACCAAGCAGCACTCTTGATTCACGGGTAATGGACACCGGCGGAGTGGAACATACGCTCGAGGCCAATGCCAAGAGAGCAGATACGATGGGCCGAGAATACCTTGGCACGTTCACAAGAACTTGACAAGTACAATGTCATTGCTGCACTGAATCTGCCACACGCTGACATGTACATGTCGATATGTAACACGTGTAATCGAGAATCCCACGAGATATTCCATTGAAGTTCTTGCTCACTGGTAACATGAAAAGTGCAGGGCTGTGGTAAGAAATCCCATGGTAGTAACCGCCCAGTGAGATCCGCCAAAACGGCCGAACGTGCCCCATGCACTGAAAGTGTGTACTCCGCGTGACAGGTGCACATACATACAGGCGCTCCATTGCTGTTAGGGCGAGGGGGAAATGAATATCCGTATCAGTGTTGGGAACGCTAGCGACATTATTCCTGCCCTCCTAAAGAAGTTCAGCTCTATCATCATCGCTCCACTCCCTCGACGGACTTCAAGCTAGTATGCCTTCAAACCCGTTCAAGCACTTTTAGATGTGTCAGTAAAAGAAGGAATATTCAACTCAATACCACACACAGCAAGTTAACCGTCCTGCTGGAATCACTACCAATGCCCCAAGCCACTATGTCCATCATCAGTGAGAGATGCACTTGTATAGTATGGACAGCAAGCCATGGTACCCGACAAGAAGCGTGTAGCCAGAGCTGCAGCTGCCCGAAGCGTAGAGTTCACCACATCTACCAAATACTGCTGTGACCAGCAAAATCCGCACTGATTGTACTGCACTTGCAGCACATAAAGCCACTTGGCTTCGCACACATCTAGGAGGTCATTAGAATCGGGTCTACCGCGCTAAATGTGTACACTGGTCTGGACTTCACTTGCAACAGCTGTACTGCATGTTTTTTTGTAGTCGCTGACAGGCATTCCGCGGGGTTCACATGCTGTGCTGCAACCCCCCCCCCCCCCCCCCCCCCGGCCCTGCATGCTGTCGGGCCTGCAAGGACATGCATGTGTTGTGGACATGCACAGCTGGTATGCACCTGTCGGTCTTTCTTTCGTTTAGTTCTGTTGCTCCCTCACTCACACAGATGTACACACACACACACACACACACACACACACACACACACACACACACACACACAGTGTCGGCAAAGCAGTCCAAGAGCAGAGAAGATCCTAGCGCCTGTGCGCACAGCGATGCCTAGATCCGAAATCTCATCGAACCAAGTTCCTTTTACCCCTTGACCATGATTATCATAACACCTTGTCCTGACCACGTCGCATACAAACAACAGTACGGAAAACAACGTGCAAACCAACAACCCATCAAGGCACAAAACTTACTTCGGGGGCTTGATGTCCTGTCCGTAGTATTTGAGCAACATGGCTTTCTGGCTTTCCGTCTTCTTTGTCTTCTTTTCACGCATCACTGACCCTGCTGCATGGTTCGGCACTGGTAACGGTGGTCTGCTCGCAACATCCATAGCCGCCTGCTGGAATTGCTGTGTTTGTCTAAGCATACTAGCCGCGGTGGAAATCGTATGGTTGGTAGTGCTGACTCCAGCATGCTGTGTCGAATCGGTTCCTTCTCCATCGGAAGAGGTCGAGCTGCTCATACATGTAGCATCGGTGCCAAGGTTGCCTCTGCCCCGGGATGCAGCCAGTTTGGCTGCTGGCCAAGGCATCCGTAGTTGCTGCTGTTCCTCAGTGTCCGGAGTGGACGCGGAGGACAGGCAAGCCCCTCCAGTGGCCTTCACAAGACGCTCAACTGCACTGCTGTCAGAACTGCTTCTGAGCCGGTGTCCCCCAGCGGCGGACACGCTGGCAGGTGCTTGAATGGATGACCTTGCCAGTGATCCAGTTTGAAGATCAAATACAGTAGGTTCTCCAAACGGCGACAACGTATCCAGAAGAAGCTGGTTGTTACACTCTTCGCTTTCAAATCGCTGATTCGGTTCAGAGTCGATGGCTGTTGCTTCTCTGGCCCTGGGATGCACCTCATCCTGACAAACAGAATCCGTCATCGCAGCTAGGCGTCCAGTCACATTCTTCGAATCTCGTTTTGCTTGTGTTCGCGGACACTACCAACCAGGCACTTGCCCTGAACTGAAGAACCATCATCATAGGCCTAGGTACCAGTAGCAGTCCAATGTCATGGGCCTCTGGGCTTTCCGCATTTTATCCGTAATGCCTGCCATTCACTTTCCGAAGAAATCTCCACTCTTACTATGACACGGAAATAGAAGTGAGCTGGCCAAATGACACGAGGGACATTATTGTATAATTCAGGCTAGCCAACATCGTCGTTTATCCACAACTCTCGTTCTAGAATAAGATGCAACCCATCGAAGAGCCGTCCAAGTAAGTTGTGGTCGAAGTAGTGAGGTCCTCCCATGTCTCCTTCCATTCGACAAGAAATATTTCGCACTCATTTCCTCACTGGATGCAGGCTGTTTCAGTGAGTTTTCAATCGCACTCGACCGGTCGATCACGGACACAAGATTTCGGATTTTGAACTGGCACATACACAGCACGCGAGTCAGAAACGCGAACGAAGCCTCATTGGCGTCCCGGCTGACACACGTGCAACCGAGACGCAAGAGCTTTCGTCATGACTTGAGGTATATTATGGCACCGCAGGCCGCGCACCTGAGGGCCTTTCTGGAAGCCTTACTCGATCGGATAGAGCGAAACTGAGCACCCTGGGATGCGAGCAGTTTTTAGTACTCCCGGGTCCAAAATCTCACCACCAGGCCGGGCTGATCAAAACGTCTGCCGGGTCTGCAGCCTACAAACGTGGATCTGCCGACACTGTGCTGTCGACGACATGTCCGGCAAGGGGTCCTTGCGTGAAAGCAAGGGACGCTTTTTTTTTTAGAAAATTATTCCTTCTGAAAATATCATCGCGTTCTTGACCTCGAAGCTGACTGCTGAATGCGATTAGGAAAGACGATTCCTGAAGATGCACCAGACTGATTCTGGCAAGCCGTCTGTCGTCTGGATATGCACTGTTGTTCGTCATGGTCAGCAATCTTCTACGTTCGTCCTTTCGTTTTCCTGACCACGATGATGACAAGCAGCTCTCATGCTCAGGTTAGTGCTACTTGTATGTCTGGGCGCACAACACATCTGAGATGCACCCACTGACGTTATCGTACTGAAGAATGCAGCAAGGGTTCCTCGGATTCTCTTGATTTCGGAACAAATTTCCTTCGCTTTCACCCTCTCCGTCTCTTCCCCATGCCCTCCATGCATGCACGATCGAGTCTGCATTTCAAATGTTGTTTTTACTTTGGCAGTGCGTTCGATAACGTTAGGATAGTCTAAGTTAGGTGTTCTTCTCTTCAGGCTTATTGGGCCTGTACAAATTCTAAAAAATAGCTTCCAAATGCTAAACGCAGGTCCCTATGAATACGGTTCTGCTGGGCAATGATGTTTGCACCAATCTACACTCTATGCAGCTGTCACAGCAGCGACAACTGATCCTCTCTCTCTCTCTGATCACTATTTGATAAAGCCAATCTTTAAATCGCTGTTGCACAGGATCTCGGGTGGGAAGAAGCGATGAATCGATACATGGCAGTGTGAATAAAAGAAGAACAAATTCACAGTGGACGTGAGACTCGGTTAGAAAGACTGAGTTTCTGCACTCGTAAGAACGTCACACCCCGGGGATCATGATAAAGAAAATATAGTCGTGAAAATGACTGAAAGAACCAAAAAAGTATTTGATCTTCCAGCCAGCTTAGCCTGGCACTACCATACTAGCAGTGCTACCAAGTACCAGCCCTCCATATTTTTCTGTATTTGTACGGAAAATCACTCCTTGTCCGCACTACAGAATTTGAGCAAATGGTATAGAAAATCGAAGAGGATCAATCAGCTGTGTAGAAGCATTGCAAGTGTAAGCTGAGCGATGAATGGTCTTGTACCAAAGCGAGTGCATGCCGTACCACGACAACATGTACATGTAGCACAACAAATAATGTCGTGAGTGCAAGTCACACATGTTTTACACTACCAAATGCAGCCACTGACATGCATGTGCGTGTCAAAAACCTTTGTAGTGCAAGTATGCATGCAATGTACACGGCAGTACGCAACACACTGCAAGATACGGAAAATCAGACTGAGTCTGAGTACGCAAAACAGACTCAATTGGTGGGCAGCTCTGTACTGGCCTGTACGGAGGGAGTGAATCTCAATGTATGCAATGCACGCACTTCGGCCGACAGTGAAAACTATGCTAGTCGCGTAGGTTTGCAGGATGAATGTGAGTCCTTTAAGACAAGCGCCTGAGTGGAGTAGCCCACCGAAAGAAGAGTACTTGACACCGCGAAGTGGAGTCTGCGCATACAACAGTGAGGGGGTAAAATTAGCTATGACTGATTCTGCATGTGTGTCACATTACTCTAGCAGATAGGCACACATGTTGTTCCAAAAAGATGCTTATGTCAGTGTCTGAATATATCATGTACCAGGTAATATTGTTGCCAGGATCTCACGGTGCGAGTCAGACTTGGATATGGTATCAATTAGGGGTGAACCGATTACACTTTTCAACTATCGGTTAACCTACCCTTGCATCGATTCGATTATCGATTATGATATCGATTACTGTGTCCTAGAAATTGTCGCGCCAGACCAGCACAAAGCATGCCGTGTTGACACACATGCAGATAAACCCCGTACTCTACACAATGCAGTGGCACATCACGTGCAGGTGCAGACAGTCAGTTTTTTTAAGTTTTTTTCACAGCCCTACTGGAAAACATATGGACAACAAAAAGAAACGAGGAAAAGGACAAAGTATAGTATCTAGTAGTGCTGTACATGACATCTTTTGATTCTTGCAGATGTTTTCTTTTTTTTAGAATCGCGTAATCGAAACAGACAGCGTAATCGAAATCTTTTCCTTGTAATGATCGATTAGACGGATAACCGATATAATCGTTTCAGCCCTATTATCAATAATTATCATACATCACCACCCAAAGTAAAATAGCCGAAGGGCCCGTTTATGTGGTGGTGTATGATTTCGTGAGCAAGATGAAGTGGCTACAGATGTGTTTTATATAACACCCTAAGAAAAGATCATCAATACTGGGGAAAGTGATTCTGGTAGCGTGTTGTATCCAGTGTGGCATGACAGGGACTCCCTCGATTTAGGCTAAGGCCTGTGGAGAATCCATTTAATACATAAATACAATACATACAGGCATCGCAACCTTCGGATTATATGCACTTTTGCTTGCCTCCTGGAGTGTGGTTGTACCTTGGTTCAGTAGACTTTGTTTTTCGAATTCGTTTTTATAACATTAGGTTTCTTTGTGTTGCTGCTATGTCTTTTCATGTGTTTTACAGGATTGCCATCTGTTGATGAATACCACTCTGAGGCACTCTCACGAGCGAAGGTGTTTGAGAATCCATGTCGGAATGATGGTCGTGTTGGCCTAAAGGTGCATTACATTGCCGATACTCGCCACCTCCACCCTGGAACATGTTCAATTTCTGTTTCTCGCATGGAAGAACCGAACAGATTGTTTTCCTGCCTCAGTGGACCACTCAAGACTAAACAGCACTGATGGAAGAAGATTTGCCGTGAATCTCGTTCACATAATCAGCCTGTTTAATTGCTGTACTGAGGTGACTGCTTCATAACAATGACCAAGCAACATTAATTTTTGCATAGTACTGCAGCGCCCCTAAAATTGGAGAATATCGAATTTCTCTTATAGCATTGTGATTCATTTGTGAATAAAAATCACTACTCTTTTTGAGAGCATAGCAATGACAGAGTTGGTTTGATGTATGACAAAAATGGAGCCGCTTTTTAAACCTGTACTATAATCAGTACCGCCGGAAGCAGTTTTTGATTGGTCCGGTAGTTTCATGGCCTTTTATACTTTGTGTGTGATATGGCAGGTACACACGTCCACCACAGCAGGAAACATTTGTTGGTGGCCAACAAGTTGGTCCGGTGATAACCTGACCAACCAGACTGGTTCCGGCGGGCCTGATAATTGTGGGGTTCATGAGTAGCTCAAGTACTTTGCATGGTTTTGGACATGTCCTCAGTTGAAACCGACTTCCCCAAGCGTTCTCTGAGGGGACTGAGGTCTACTCTATCAGTTCATGTATTCTGTGAAGTGACATGACCATTCGTGGGGACCTTGCTCATAACTGCAAAAGTCCGAATCAATTGAACGTTGTACATGTGCATGTAGTGAAGGCCACATGCAAAATGCTGTTCCATGACACTCATCTGCCACCAAGCACTGGGTTCATTGGCTGAAAATATTCTTCGGCACAGTAAAGTTGTGCGCCCAAGAGCGTGGAAGCCTAGAACATCCAGCCTGGAATACTAAGAACACCACAGCCCAAAATTAAGAATTGCGGTGCTGGGTTTGTGCTGTTGTAAAACACGGGGATTGTTATTGATTGTTATGTTGTACACACATGTATTTGAGCTTTACCACTACATACACGTCTGTCATGCACAATACTCAATCTGACGACAATATGCTGTTTCGCTCATCATTGCAGCACAGAGAAAATGAGGCAGATGAATGTCCTGCTAGGGAACATCGAATACTGTAAGACATGTTATTATAACGAGTCGCAAATTTAACGATTGTCCAAAATTCATAAGTTAACGAGAAGATATGTTAAACGACCTTGCAGTATTCCGGCCTATCCACACACAACATACAGTAGAGTCGCGCGCCCAAGAACGTTGTTTCCAAGGGGTTAGCCTGGGACGTTCTTATTTTTTCTGCAATCTGGCTGCGTTCTTATAGCACGTTCTTAGAAACAATCCGTACTGGATCATATGTATTCCACAAGCTGCCAGAAAACCAACATCGCCGTTCTTAGCTTTAGGCTGTGGTGTTCTTAGAATTTCAGGCTGGACGTTCTTGGGCTCCGCGTTCTTCAGCGCGCGACTCTACTGTATATGAAGCAGTACGGCCTCAACGGATCTTATTATAACGAAGAAATGTCATCCGTTAACTTAAAGCGTTCGATTTACTTTCTCGTTATATATACATGTCTTACAGTACAGGTATAGAATCATGCCTTGCAGATCTCGTTACGGCCCCTTCGATGCATGTTTGAACATTAGATGGCTGTGCAGCTTCAGTTATCTCGGAATATGTTATCCAGCAGCAACAACGTTGGGCACCGATTAACTGACACACACTTATTCACTATAATGAGTATGCATTGGAACACTTTACCCCGAGTCATACTATAGCAGTGAATGGGTTTACCTCACACACTGAATTTCATAATTTGACATCCAAATCACAGAAGAGTAGTGTTCCAAACTTTACGTAATTGCACTCCATGTCCTGCGAGCTACAGTAGAATACTTTAATAGAATACTTCTTATAGCACGTTCTTAGAAACAAATCGTATAGGTT